TTACTAATCGAGTTTCTCCATTTGGGTAAATACGAGCCGAGGGGTGATTCAAAAGTAATGGACAAAATTTTATAGGCATACTAAATTTCACCCAATCAGTCTAATTTTTTCACAGTGAATAGATCAATCAATTCTCTACTTTGTGTCGAATTCTCATTTAAATGCATTTGAAATTGTTTCAGCTATGCATAACCATGGTAACAAGGGTAAGCATGGGTGGAATTGGTTTTTTAATGATAATTGAATGTTTTTGTCATTTTTGCTTGATTTCGTTTTAATGACTCAATTACCACACATGATATGTCTAACAAGCATGGTAATGCAATTGTCAAGCAAGACTCACATGCCCATGTGTTTGCTGTTGAGTTCTAAATTCAGCAGCCAATTGTGCTATAACATCACAATGATATTTCTAAGAATGATGAGTCACAGTGAGTCAGAAAGTAGATCAGACTCTTAGACTCACACACATCCAAGAAATGTCTACTTTACAACAAATCAAAGTTAAGCAAAGGATTGTTATTGAATATTTGGTAGCTACTGGAGAGACAAGGCAGGCAGTTGTCAAGAAAATAAAAGAGACACATGGAGACAAGGCCTTGTCAAGGCAAGCCATTGAGCGATGGTACAAAGACTTTAGTGAAGGGGATACGAGAGTCTTAGATCTAAAGCGATCTGGAAGGCCCAAGACAATATCAATTTATTTCGATTATTTTTTGTATAACGCATGGAAAGTAACTTTAAAAATTGAGCAATGTCATTAGTGTTGTGATAATAACGTCCCTTATACCTATTTATTACAGGTCATGTAGACCATGGGCATGTGAGTCTTGCTTGACAATTGCATTACCATGCTTGTTAGACATATCATGTGTGGTAATTGAGTCATTAAAACGAAATCAAGCAAAAATGACAAAAACATTCAATTATCATTAAAAAACCAATTCCACCCATGCTTACCCTTGTTACCATGGTTACGCATAGCTGAAACAATTTCAGTTGCATTTAAATGAGAATTCGACACAAAGTAGAGAATTGATTGATCTATTCACTGTGAAAAAATTAGACTGGTTGGGTGAAATTTAGTATGCCTATAAAATTTTGTCCATTACTTTTGAATCACCCCTCGTATATATCTTATTACCTCACATCAAAACAGATCATAAACAATAGCTATAGGGTTTCTAGAGGGTGGAATTCATCAACTTTTGAGGGGAGTGTACAACGGTATCAGATCGTACCCTGCGCGCAGAGTCTAGTTATAAACTACTGCTCAAGACGAAGCTCTCTTTTGAGAAGCGAAGAACGAATGCAAAGGGTAATCAGATCGGATAGTAAGAATATATTGGAGTCATGCACTGGGAAGTTATGGATACACTGAATATCCTGAGGGAATGAAATACATTCACTTGGATATGGAATATATTTCCGGTCGTTATGTCCTTGAAACCTCGTTAGGTATGGAATACATAAGGGTTGCACTTGGAGGTTTGGGATACAGGGAATGTCCGGAGGGATATTCAATATATCTTCCCGAAGGCCCGAAGAGACCAGGGTGAGATATGTTCGAGGGATGTATCCTGTATCAGAACCGACCGTGCATATAGAGGTTGGGAGGGATTCAATGTGGGGAGGAACAATATGATATACTATCACGAGGAATAAACTCACATTTAATCCCGACCAGTGAATAAACTTTTATCCCATGATATTCATGACTCTCTTCATAAAATCCTTAGTTCCAAATTCATATCTGATTTTTGTATAAAACAACAAAATATGACTTGCTGTATGACATTTTGAAATATGAAAAATCTCTTGTATAACATAAACACACCAACATAAAAAAAGTAACAATACGTAAACATGTCCATCACAGGACATATCCGACTATCCACTTATTCGTGTAAGTATCATAGATTGATAATAATGATCTTAAAAAGATGGCAGGCAATATGGTTCATACCCATGACAAGAAGAAGAAGAATATCAATGTACCGATTTTAATTATTTTTCTCTGGTGGGTACATAAGACATTGATCGTTGACGTAAGGGTGATAATTGAGCATGAATTCGATCTGTTTTTTCTTGAGGACATTGTAAATTAACATTTCGGCCTATGGCAAAATAATTGTGGTGTGCCTTCACAACAATTTTACCGCTCACCCAGTCGAAAGGGTGAATATGGAAGTATTTCGCTACACAATTCAGAGAGAATGGATCAGTTTCTATTAACAATATTTATCAAATGTCAATAGTCCATTTTACTGACGAGTTGAAAAAAGTCTTTCTGGAATTAAATTCATTTTTCCCTCGAGATCGTCAATATGAGACGGGACTATGGTTAGCTACCTTCACTTTCTTTTTTAATTCAATATAAATTAAATAGTTCATTATCACGGTGTATCAATTTCAGTCTGGAGAGTCAAGTTATCACCTTGACAACTGTTTAACAAGCGACCTTGGATGCAGTGACTGGTGATATAATGCACTGCATTTATACAAAATACCGCTAACTGGATCTTTATTTCTACATCTTCGTTCACTCGGCTCCCGTCGGTTGCGCAGTGAAGACCGAGCGTGCGAAGATGTTATTTCTAAGTATCACGAGTGTTTCATGTTAATGTACTTTTAATGATGATAAATCATTTTTTATAATTGTTAATCTAACATGATCTTATATCATTAAGCCGATATTAATTACCAAAACTATATATATGATCTTACGAGAAACTTATGGTTATTTCAAGCCGCTTAATGATTGGCAATCACATTTGTACTCTCAAATCTTTGACCTCTTCTCAAAATAATAGCTCGGATAGAATTTATCAAGATCCGCTGTATCTGATCTATCATTGTCAGGAAGCAAAGTGTTTGCTGGATATGTACAGCAATTTCCATTAAATTTACATCAAATGATTTGAGCTTCTATAAGCATTGTTGAAGTTTAAACAATACCTTAATTTAGTGATTGGAATAAAAAAATATATTAACATATGCGAAGAAGCATATACATGAAATGTCCCTGCCCTTGTACCACCTTGGACTAGTTAACCTGGGTCAGTGATCAATAAGCCAATAGCTTCACAAAATAAACATTTGACAATAGACTAATATGAAAAATGGGAGAATAATTAGACATAATTATTAGTAAAAGTACACTTATATACATGCGTTCATTTCCCTTTGTATTTGACGATAAGGATTATTGGAACAAGGATTGAAGGTAAATTTACTTTGATAACATGTTTTGTTAATTTTATTACATTAAATTTCATTTAAAATTCAGAAATGACCGCCTATATACAACTAAAATTTCTAACTTGCGCAGCCGGTATGCGGAAGACATATGATCTTTTATTTTGTGATATATGTTCTAAAATCCCCAAGATGTCTCAAAATATCGTGAAATAGCAATATGGAGCATATGTTATGTATTACTAAATAAACTGCTTGTATTGATCTATATGATCAAATTATATTACATTTTATTGTAAAGCCAACCATTTGTTACACCCTCTTCTTTCTTTCAGATAGTATGGCTTGCAGATTTCACCTTGGTAAGTGAGCCTTGAAATGTTTTCTCAATCAATAAATTTTTATGTTCTTGTTAAAAACAACATGCAACGTTTTTTGAATTATATATAACATTCAAACTTCGAAACTAAAAAGATACATGCTTTCGATAAGTCTCGGGTGTTTTAGATTGAGTAAAGGTCATACATTGCATCAACCATCTTCGATTCTATTTACATTGTACTTTATAGCATTTAATACATATTGTGCGGTCGAAATGTAGCTTTGGTATCCCGTCGATATCGTATTTAATGTGTCTCAAACTTCAATGGGAGTTTTTGATAATGTTATTGTTTTTCAAGCAAGAATTTAACATTGAAAATCATAACTGCTCAAAAAGTGTATAGATTCAGTTTGATTTTGATATTATTTGTTCGGTATATTGACAATTTTTCGATAATTATCCGATAAAGAAGAAATTTAAAAAAGATATTACTTAATATTTTTCGTCAAAGACAGAATATCCTAAACAGCGCATTTTATTTCAAAATGGCCGCCGAAAAATTGAGTGGAAAAATGAAGTATCGAACGGTCACGTGACCGTTCACGAGAATTTAAACTGGATGATTTTCTTTCGGTAACTTGATTTTATTCATTAAAAATGTCTATTCAACTTTCATCATTTTAATGTATTCGACTGTACTTTTCCAATAATAGTGAATTTTTCTCCGAACCGCTTTTATAACTTGTCTTGCTAAATTTAAACTTAATATATTTTCTTAATTGTTTCAATACACAATTGAAAAGTGGACAAACTTTGTAATGATCCTAAAAACAGTCTGTCAGTAAAGCTTTAATGCTTTAATTTTAAAAAAGTAATATTATTAAAATGGCTAAATAGTATATTTAGTATTACATTCCGTGAACGCGCAATTAAAGAGCAGCATTTGCTTAACACCAAAACTCAAACCTTAATTTAGGGTCATATGGTCTAGGATTATTCATTCATTATTCACACACGCATCATACCCATTTTTCTTAAACGTGATGAGAAACCCAGGCAGAATTGGACGGCTTATGATCAAAATATTTAGAAATCCTATAATTCATGTGTGGAAATGTCGCCATTTTTTATTTCAGCTCTAACTCTTCTGATGTATGCCTTCGGGGCGCCAATATCAGGTATTATCCTATAAATCCTATCCTATTTGTACGTAAATGTTGAGTATAATGTTTAAACTGTATCAAAATTAAACATATTTCGTTCATTGATATATCCAACTCGCAGAATAGTGTTCACAAGAATTTCGAAGACATTATAAACTTGTATAATACTCGGTTTGTTCGAGTTTGCACATAAACCTCGATTGTGTACTTGATTGTGTGGTTCCATTCACGTCACGTCCCTTCCTTTAATAAATTAAGGTGATCCGATCCATTGTCCCTCTGAAGGTTGGCTGACGGAGACACTGCTGAACCTAGACAATATGAATCCTGAAATCATACAGGTAGGGTTGGATTTTTTAAGATAGTACCACTCGAAATACAACTTATCGATAATTTGTACATTTCGAATAATTTAATGTAAACAGCATTTGATCTTTTCATAGTATTAACAGTGAGTAAACGCAACGTCAGCATATCACATATCACTACGTCCTTCCGTATCAAGTCAAGTGCAAGTCAAGTTGGATTTGTCCTTCTTCCAGTGCATCCTTTTTTCTAACTGATTGTATCCATTTTGATTCGAATTCAACTCTCTTAAAATTCGAAACGTTTGAATTACGTAACCTTCTCTGGGAGTAGTATTATGGGTGTCGACTTTTGGCTTGCAACCGAAGATACTTCGAGAAAAGCTGGAGATTTTCTTTGCAAACGAAGTTGGCCGAGGGGATTGTGACGACCATCAAGATTCAGTCTTCATTTTAAACTTTTTCTGGGAGTTGTCATTCACATTTGACTTCACTGGATGGTGTCATTTAATCTTAATTATCTAGTATCTACATCCTCGTAGCATTATGGTCTTTCTATTTTATACGATTTTATTAACGTTTTCACAAGTTTCAAACTCGGAAGTAATACTTTGCCAAAAGGTGACGTCGGCCAATAGGTGGCGGGATTCTGTTTTAGTAATTATCCTCCGCGTAACAACCAATCGGAATTGCCGAATTCCTGGAACTACTTTCTTCACGAAGTTCGTTCGTGATCTGGCTAGGCTCTTCATACTTTCTGAAACCATCGATCGCGTAGTCTAGCTTAATTTTCACTGTCTTTTTCCTCGCGTTTATGTCGGATATCGTAGTTTATTTCACTCACAAACGGGATTAAAACTATTGCAGAATATCAGTGACAATGTTGAGATGTATAAGTCGGTAAGTTGAGCTATATTTCGAGTAGATAACCGAACGTCAGATTCTCATAATCGGGGAAAATATTTCTGCCATTTTGGAACAAAGGACCAGTGAGATATCTCCAACTTTGTCCCAACATTGCAGCTTATGATTTAGCCATCGGCGATTTATTTCTGGTTTATTTTATTTGTTGCAATATTAATTTAATGTGTTCAGAAAGCCGCAAATATTTATCGGATATTTTTCGTGTATTTCGAACCTAAAACTTCGACTAAATTAGGGCATACAATTTGAGCAAATGTTTAACTTGATCTCGGAAAGTTTGGCAAGAATATGCATTCTTTTTCCGTTGATGTAATTGGACATCGGCTATTAGTTTTAAGTTATTTTCGTGAATTACATCTTTGTCAAGGATCTGTCAAAGACCCGCACACTTTTACTGAATATTTTTCGTCTATTTTGTTTGTAAACCTCGAGCTAATTTCGTGATTCACGTGTTCGCCATATTGCTATTATAATCTGAAAGGCTGTGAGCAAAACTTAAACCTTTCAGTCAATCTATCAGCTTTATCTTTAGCCATCCATGATTTCATTTAGGGTTACTGGGACATTATCTCATTAAGTAACTTATTGGGGAACTTTTGAATACTTTGATCACATATATCTGGTGAATATTGAGAAGTAAACTTGTGATCTTTTATGGAATGTTGAATCCACACAACAGGCAATTTCAGCATACTGAATTTTCTGTTGGAATCATTTTCGCATTCCATTATCCAAATACGTTCGCGATATCATACCTTTTATCAAAGCATATATTACATGTGCTGATTATAAACCCAAATTGCTCTTTCAGTTACAGCAGACTGTGACATTGCATATTTCATTCATTTGGGTCTGCACAAAGGCCTACATGTGTGTAATGTGCTGGCTATTTGGGACAACTTATTGTATTGAGAGGCGACATAACTTGAAAAGCTTTTGATTCATGATATCGGACATACATGTACATAGTAGTGGTAGTCATATAGTTGCCCGGGTTAATTAGTGTACATACATTAGTATTTTGTTCTCTAGTATTTTGTGATTTGCCGGAAATTCGCGCATTTGTTTAAAAGCTTTAATCACCAAATCATGGTCTTGTAATTTTGTGATCATTGTATCGATAACATCAGAAATTCTAATATTTTGTCTATTATCAATATGGACAGTCAAAGCATACATTGTTAATATAACGTTCCATCATACAATTAGAACATATAATTAGAAAATACCAACTTTTGTACAAAGGACCAATAAATTAGTTTTGTTTTATTAGTTATAGAAATTAACACGCTTGTTTTATGTTGAGTTATTTGCTGAGGAGAGTTAATTATCCTATTATGTCACCAGAGTGACATATAAGTCAGGTTCTGTTATATTTCCATTTGGGCAGCCTACTGCCAGTATGGAATATCGTTAAGTGCTGCCATCTTTCAATCAATGCAGTCTACTGCTTGATAGTCATTTACTTATTGCCAACAGTGACATAGTGAGGTGCTGCCATCTTTCAATTAAGATAGTTCATACATGGAAACCTGACATGTTATAGTGCTGCCCTCTTTACCAAACTAAGTCCATTCCAAAGGAACCAAAATTAACAGAGTATTAATTGCATAACACAACAATGGTAACTTGAATGTTAGGTTGAACTCTTATATATTTTCAATAGTAATTTCCTGATCTATTCCCGCTCGCCAACTATGATTAAACGGGTCAGGTCATTACAGTACCATGAATGTGAAGAGGACGTCTCTAATTGGTCAAAGAGAGACTCGGCATTTTCCGTCAGATTGAAGCGGCAAAATTTCGTTGTATGGCTTACCTTCAGTTGTATGGCTTACCTTCGGCTGCATGGCCCAACCTCGATTGAATGTTAAATATGCTGTCCGGTAGTTCCCGTAGAATTATGGTTGGAGACTCCAGAAAAGTTTCCCATAGATGGCCATTATAACATTTTAGCCTGTATCTTATTAACGATTAGTATCCAAGCCTAGCGCAACAGTGTTCGGGAGAGAGACTCGCCTAGCCTGCTATAACAAAGTCAATCTTACCGTGGGTTGTCCACCGGATTTTTGAGAGAAATAAACTTGAAGACACTAACCCCCTCTATCGTCAGATTTCTTAGAGAATTCTGGTAAAATCATCAAGGTCAAAATCACTCGGCCGCCAGCTTAAAATGAGATTTCCAACAGAACTTTGACATGTTTTCAGATAAATTAGGACCTACCTTATAAATATTTAGTCCCGATTCACTTCCCAAACGCCAGATGGCGCTCTAATGGAGTAGGGAAGGAGAAAAATGAATTTTTATACAGAAAACCAAATCACCTTACCAAATGTCCTTACACAGGACTATATCCTATAATCCTCTAGGGCTTAATACTTCCCTGTTTAGTATCAATAACGACTTAAGGTCAGACATATCAATTGCCTGGATTTCTACATATGGACAGAGATGTGAATTTTTAAACTTAATGAGCAATATTAGTATTTACCTACATGTTGCAAAGGCCTGTGGCCAAATGCTAAAACTTCGTGAAATTTTTCTATATAAGTGATTTACATGTATTTATAGTGTCCTGTAGGTCGTTATCGGCCTGGGGTGTTTTAATTGTATTTTATATGTTTTATAACTCATGACACTTTAATAAAATAAATAAATAAATCCCCAGTGAGTAAAGGTGTAAAAGGACAATCGGGAAAGGGACTGCAATACCTTGAAGGATGTGTTCACGTGCTCGTATTCAAGTGGTACGTGTGCTTATATTTGAGGCATGCATATATATTACTCGTATTCCTGGCGTACGATTGCTTGTATAGGTTGTTTTTTGCCCCTATTCAAGGTGTTCGTATGCGTGTATTACAGTCGTGCGTCTGCTTCTATAACAGACCTGCATGTGCTCGTATTCCAGGCGTATGCATGCTGATTTTTCAGGCGTATATGTGCTCGTATTCCAGGCGTATGCATGCTGATTTTTCAGGCGTATATGTGCTCGTATTCCAGGCGTATGCATGCTGATTTTTCAGGCGTATATGTGCTCGTATTCCAGGCGTATGCATGCTGATTTTTCAGGCGTATATGTGCTCGTATTCCAGGCGTATATGTGCTCGTGTATCTACATTGATGCACAAACCTATCTATTTCAGAGAGAATTGACACTACTTAGGGATTGTCCTGCTCCAGATGCAATTAAAAAGTGTATCATCGTGGCTTTAAAACAAAGCGAACGAGTAGCGTTGGAAGAAAGAAAAAACATGAAGAAAATCAAAAGCTTTATGAAACCTACTGGAGCCTCGAAACTTTCAAAAGCACTTAAACAACTGATGGGTAAGCTATAATCATATCACATCATTCTTCAGTTATTGACATATTTGTATGTAGCTGTAGCTTACAGGTATGGGCAAAAACGATAATTGATTTTTTTAAATTACATGAATTCTGCTATTCTACCACAAAAAACAATCATACTTTCTACAATTTTAGCCCTATCATCTTGGAATATTGATAATAATGCCAATACAATGTTTATATATTATCCAGACACTCCAGTTTCCCGAATTAATGAAAGAATTCCAAGATATTAATTTTTCTTTGACAATATACGACGGTAAGGAAGTTACGACGTTCACCCATAAGATCGGTCCTTCTCTGCTTTCATAGCAGCTCATGCAATGGAGTACTCTTGGGCCAAGGATGCGTTCATCATGACATTGTTACTTCTCCACAAAGTCAATCGGGTCACCAACCCCCAAAGCCTAACCACGTCGGAAAAGAAAGTATTTTCAGTGAGCATATGCATCAAATACGTCTATTGAGTTGAAGTCGCCACTTTCAGTCTTTCAAAAGACAACCATTTAAGGAAACACGTACTGTAAGACGTAAGTAAGTGAATCCGGGGGTACCATAAACTTCTTAACAAGCATTTGGATTGTTAACATTTATACAAGTCATGTATATTTATACATTTATACATGCCCTACAATGTCAACATATTGTTTCCACGTCCATGCCAACCTAATTAAAAAGTATTTTGGACTGGTAAACATGCCTCTCTTGCCTGATTGACTGATTCAAATAAGTTGTGAAAATCTCTATGAGGATAGAATAAAGCAGCATATTTATACACACATCATTCTATATATACATTCATCTATAAACATTAATTTATGCGACTTTTTTAAAAACAAGCAAATGAAACACTATACCATGGGCTTTCAACTAGAATTCTAATTGAAAGCCCATGACTATACTTACATGTATTTCGTCAAATTTTTGCGGAGGCAAATTTACTTTTTGCGCCAAATTCGCTTAAAAGTTGCTAAATCTGCTTAAATGCTGCTAAATTGTGATATAGGTTTTGAAAATATTATCTAAAGAATATGAAGTAGAATTTCATTTTTTTATTTCATGTGCATGCTCTTGGCAAGACTTTTAACTTTCTAATTACGTTAATAGATTCTCGAGCAGTGCTCGATTTTTTTCTAGGCAATTCCATCCACATAATTGACCAGCTGAAAAATGTTCACATAGACATGGGTGGAATTACCTTGAAAACACTCGTGCTCTGTTTGTGAATCTGTTAACGTAATTAAAAAGTTTCAAGTTTTGCCAAGAGCATGCACATGAAATTAAACATGAAAAACTTCATCATTTTCCCTAAATAAATCATTTAAAACCTACATCACATTTTTTTTGATGCAAACAGTTAAAGTGTACATCCATATATTTTGTCACTGTACGTTGTCGATGGTTAGGCGTGATTGTGAATGATCTTTATACTTTGCTATTTGTTCTAATAATTACAGCATGAAAAAGTAGGAACATTTTTAGTAAGAGTTTTTTCTGGCGTTCAGCATTTTAGTGCATCACGGGCATTGCATCACTAAGCTTTCACCAAAATTCTCTTTGGGGAGAAGTAAAGCCTTACAAATTTATTCCTTTTTCTTTTTGCTCCAAGGGACAATTTTAGCCTCCATGGCCTGGAAACCCTAATACTGACCCAACTAAAAGAAAAGATATTTATATTACCATTATCTCATAAATACGTTTAATGCTAAATCAACGTTAATAGTATAATATACGTGTTAAGTGAGGTAAGATCAAGACAATTTAAAGAAACAATGTCATGGGAAACGTCGTAAACCTCCTTGACGTCGTATATCTTCAAAGAAATCATCACCTACCACCCACAATAGACATCTTTATGACAATCAATCAATTAAAGTAACGACTCTTATTACGAATCTTAAAGAATATCATGATAAAAAAACCGCGATTCCATTAATAACTTTAGTAAAAATGATAAGAATTATTGGAAACTAATAAGGCTGTTTCTTGGTAAAAGTGCTGATTCCCAAATTCCACCACTGTTTAATCAAAATCAACCGCAAATAACAGATAACCTTGAGAAGGCAAATGCCTTCCTAAAGCTGTTTGCATCCAAAAATCATATGGATAATATCAATTTTGACCAATTACCTAATTTTCCTGACAGAACCAACTCTTTCCTCATTTCAGTTGCGACCAATCCAGATGAATTGATGAAATTAATTTTGTCACTTGACACTTCAAAAGCCTGTGGACCTGATATGATCACCAACAAAATGCTTAACCTCACAGCACACACAATATCAAGACCTCTATCTACCCTATTTAACAGACTATGTTCAAGAAATGTCTTTCCAGAACCATGGAAGGTGGGCATAGTTTGTCCAATTTTCAAAAAAGGTGACAAGTCTGACATTAACAATTACCGCCCGATTACCTTATTAAATACTATATCCCAATTGTTTGAAAGGGTAAAAGCTGATCGAATTCGAACGCACTTGACCTCTAATAATTTACTTTATAAACACCAGGCAGGTTTTCTTCCTGGACATAGCACACAAGCCCAACTTTTGACCATAGAACACTTCCTTCAGAAAAATTTTGAAGAAGGAAAGGCATCAAAAGGAATATTTCTTGACACTGCATCAGCATTTGACAAAGTCCCTCATCACTTACTCATATTGAAACTCAAGTCTTATGGTATAAGGGGACAGTTACTAAATGTCATAAAATCCTATCTCTCTGACAGAAAAATGTATGTAAATTTAGCTGGTGCTTCGTCTTCAATGTCGGAGGCCAATTTTATCAATTGCGGTGTTCCACAAGGATCAATTTTGGGACCTCTATTTTTTTATTGTACATAAATGATCTCCCAGATAAAATTGACACAGAGTTCTATATATACGCAGATGATACTTCACTGCAGTTCTCTTTTGACCCCAAAAATCCAAATGATATAGATCAATCTGTTGCAAGTAACCTGGAAGCGATTCAAAATTGGTCCAAATTATGGAAGCTCCAGTTTAAACCTGAGAAGAGCTGCGAAGTTATTTTTCATACTCCAAGAATGCCAATCGAAAACGTGACCACATCATTTCTCAATAACACTGAAATCAAAAGAATTGCAACCCATAAACATCTTGGTTACTGTTTTGATGAATGCCTCTCAAATATATCTCATATTGATGAGATTTGTACAAAGGTAAAAATAATGCTAAATCCTTTAAAAAAACTCCAAGGCAAACTGACAGCCAAACATTTGGAGACAATCTTTACCTCATTTATTCGTCCATATTTTGATTATGGTGTTGTATTATACAACAAATCTTCCAAATATTTACTTGAACGGTTGAATAAGCTCTACTACCAAGCAGCCATCTTGTGTTCAGGCTGTTACCATGGTAGTAATACCACTAAAGTGCTCAATTTATTACAATGGCATACATTAGAGGACAGAAGGAAGATGGAAGTTAATAATTTCATGTACAAGGTTGTCAATGGAACAACTCCTTTATATCTAAATGAGATCTTTGAGAAGTACAAAAATAAAAGCATTAGAACTAATCGCAACAAATTTGACTTTAAGCTACCAATCCGCTGTAGCAACAGATTCTTGGAGTCGGCAGTCCTAGGTGCAATCAGTTCATGGTCAATGCTGCCATCATATATCAGAGAAAAGAAAACACTCCAGACTTTCAAAAAATATCAAAAAACTTATTTTGCTCCCAAAAAACTCACTCTGCCATCTACCTTTCTTAATTTGACAAGAAAACAAGAAATAATCATAAACAGACTTAGAGCTGATTTTCTTTTTAGGGCTCAACTATACGCCCATTACTTTACTTTTATTGATGGCCCAAATTGCTCATGTGGAGCTATCTGTACGCCAAAGCACTTTTTTCTGAAATGTCCAAATAATGAATTAAATTTTCAAACATTAAAAAATGACATTGAACTGATTGCACCAGGAGTCTTAAATAAACATAAAAATCAAGCTGATTTACTTTTTTTATTCTATTATGGAGATCCTGATCTATCTTTAGAAACAAATTCGCAACTTTTGTCCAAAGTGGCTGATTTTATTTCTGCCAATATCTGAATTCCCTCCTCAAGTGAACCTGTTTAGTCTCCCCTCCAAACACCCCCCCCCCCTATCCCCACCCTACAAGTGCATCCCCTTAACTTGTTGTATAGTGTACTATTATGATTTATTATATGTATTAACATATATTGTTTAAATGTCCATTTTTCCTATAATGCCTTCGGGATTGGAATTATGTATTTGCTTATAAGTTTGAATAAATAAATTCTTATATAAAAAAAAATCTTCAAAGAAAAATTAATTTGTCGGAATTCTTTCATTGGTTTAGGAAACTAAAGTGTCTGGATGATGTATAAAAATTGCATTGTTAATCTAATCAATATTTCAAGATGATAGGGTTAGAATTATAGAAACTATGATCATTTTTGTGAAAAAATGATCATTTCTTTCCAAAATTTGTCGTGCTTTCTAGAAGGTTTGAGAAGTTCTAGACCGTGTTCATACGAAATGTTGAGACGCAGTGATACAAGAGGTATATCTGCATGGTATGGTCAATGTTTCTACGAAAGGGAAAGAACCATATTCTGTCAAAACGTCGAAATAAATGAGTACTTACAAATCTCCCGCCGAAAATACTTGTATAACGTCGTAAGCTTCCGGTGTTACAACGTATAAGAGAATGGGGTGTGAATATTGTGTTAGAGTAAATCAATTGGTCCCTACAAGTCAAAATAAGTTCTGGGGGGGTTGTCAATCCTCCTTGAATCTGAAGCTGGAAGTTCAATTTGAAGTTCATTCGCTTTTGCGCATGCTCGAAATAGTACAGCATGAAAGCAGCGAACCAGGCGCATATTGCCCTTGTATCCTTCATAGGAAAATTAAGGAAATACATTCTGTCCTTCCCAAAACTACTCTTTATCACGTTGCTTACATGATTAATCTAATCATTGACGGATTTGAATTGATTTCATATCTTGTAATTGCAGCATAAGATTCGACATTGTTCCAGTGACACTTCCTTTCCATGTACATATAATATCGATTAATGATTTTAGACCTGTGCTCGAATACCAAGGCCATCTCAATGGTAGAACATGGCTTATCGCTGATAATTGATTCTAAAATGAGGCCAGTGCTTGGTGAAAATAAAACAGTTGCAGATGTTCTTAAAATGAAAAAGGAAGCTTACGTAAGTATTATTATCGTATCGTACTAGAGGGAGGGATGGACTCATTGTTAGCCCAACTATTCACATCTGTCAGTGTAGAAAGGATGGTGAATCAACCAATCACGTATTTTTTCACTGTAATCCAAGATCAACATTTTGGACAGAATTTGAAAATGAATTAAAAAATATGAACACAGAATATTCTACTAAATATAGATCACAACGAGATAAACTCTCCCTTACCCTCAATGGTGATAAAAGACTACCAAGAGCTGTAAACTTAAATATCCTCAAATGTAGTGCCATCTTTTTTGAACGATGTAAAAATATCTAGGTCACCCCACCACTTTAACCCTCCACAAATACAACCCCTATTTTAATGTCTGATTAAATACTGTTAATTCATTTTCATCATATAACGTGGCTGATAATGCTGATGCCAATCCACATGTGCACTTGTTAATGTATTCTTTGTATGAATAGATAAATAAATAAAACTAGTTCATTCACCAAGAGGGACACATCTAATTATTTTGTGTAAGTGAAATGTTATACAACTATGCTCGCGAATCGTCTAATTTTGCTATTATTTCGGATTTTAAGAAGAACATTCTAAAAGAAAATGCAAAAACTAACGTACAAGTTCGATTATTTTCCAAATTGAGTTTAAGCAATATGCAGTAGCTTACAAAACTACTCATTAAAAGTGGGGTGATTTTTGTATGTCAATGCTTTTTATTTAAAAGAAGAGGAGACAGTGGTAAAAAAAAGGTTTCAGTTAAACAAACCTCTTATCATAGAAATGTCGAATCAAAACTGTACGAGATCAAGAAGAAATTGGGGAATTCAACTTTGGTTCAGAAATCAAGAAGACAAAACAGCGTATACGTACAGATCAGTATACTATATAAACCGATAATGTTATCAGGGCCGTCAGATGGGGGGGTGCGATGGGTGCGACCGCACCCCCCTTTGTCACCCCCCAAAATAAATTTGAAAAAATTCAAAAAATTTTTTTTTGAAAAATATTTTTTTTGTTGTTTTTTTTCATTGACTCATACACTTTGAAAGTACCCAGAAAGCACCAAATAGCATCTTAAAATTGTAAAATTTTCTAGGGGTATTGGCCACCCCTTACACCCCCCACAAAACAATGGAAAAGTTCTAAATTTATTTTAGTGTTTTGTCTCAGGGCTCTCAGACACTTTTAAAGTGCCCAGACATCATCAAATAGCTCCTTGATATTGTTAGTGTTTTTGGGGGACTTGCTCCCCCTCTTGCATCTTGCACTTGCATCCCCCCCTCTGGCGCCCCCCCTTGACCCCCCCAAAAAAAATTATCAAATTATTTAATTGACTCATACACTTTGAAAGTGCCCAGAAAGCACCAAATAGCGTCGTAAAATTGTAAAATTTTCTAGGGGGAGTGGGCCACTCCTCACACCCCAAACAAAACAATGGAAAAGTTCTGAATTTGTTTTATGTATTGTCTCAGACACTTTTAAATTGCCCAGACATCATCAAATAGCTCCTTGATAAAGTTAATGATTCTGGAAGGCTAACACTTACTCGCCCTCTGGCATCCCCACTCCACCTCCCCCTCTGGTAGCACCCCCCCCCCCTTAACACCCCCCCCCAAAAAAAAAAATGGGGGACAAACACTTGCTCCCCCTCTGGCACCCCAGCCCCACCTCCCCCTCTGGCACCCCTCCCCCCCCCCTTTGACACCCCCAAAATTTGATGTTTTTATTGACTAATACACTTTAAAAGTACCCAGACGCACCAAATATCATCTTTAAATTGTAAAATTTTCTAGGAGAGTTAGCCACCCCTCACATCCCCCACAAACAAAAGAAAATATTCTGAATTTCATGTATTGTCTCAGACATTTTTTAAGTGCCTAGACATCATCAAATACAAATAGCACCTTGATATGGTCAATGTTTCTTGGGGACAACCCCTTGTTCCCCTACTGGCACCCCACCCCACTTCACCCTCTCATCCTCTTTGACACCCCAAAACAATTGGAAAAAATCCACATTTTTCTTATTGACTCATAACGCACCAGATGGTTGCAAATTCGCTCAAAATACAACAAAATTTCAAATTTTTCCTAGGGGAGAACCCCCAGACCACCCTGAATGCTCGGTTTTTTATTCACTCAACTCTTATTCCCGTGGTGGTGGCGTACTACTTAGAAACTTACACTTTGAAAGTACCCAGAAAGCACCAAATATCAAAACTGTAAAATTTTCTAGGGGGAGTGGACCACTCCTCACACCCCCACAAAACAATTAGAACGTTTGAAAGTTGCATTTGTTAATTCCAAACCAATATAGGGAGTAACTGACCCCCCCCCCCCTTCTGTCTTACGCAATTTGATTTACGCGGCAAAAAAATTGACAATTTTATATTCTCTTTAGTAAGCTAAAAACCGCACCCCCCTTGGAGAAAAGTGTCTTACGGGCCTGGTTATTAAGTGGTTATTAATCATTTTGCTAAATGTCTAATTTATTGAATATGTCTATTTTGTAGGTTGAGCTTAAACCTATTCTCAAGTCAAAAGATAAACAATGCAGAAAAGCAGCTAATACCGTGAAGAAAATATTGAAAAAATGTATCAAAACACTTGAAAAACTTGTGAAGGTATATGACAAAGTTCCAAATATCCTAGATCCGTTGAAGAAATGTCTGAACAAAATTGTTGAAGAATTACAGGGCACGACAACCACAACTGAAACAATGATGATTAATGGCCGTACGTATCACCTCTGACATATACTACTTGGTTTTATTGTTTTAATTGAAAACATGTTCACGACTTCACGATGAAATGAAAATGACTGACCGGGTAGATATGATGACACCTTGTTTTTAAAATGTTTACAGAAGCACAGATGCTTTTATTCATGGTGTTAGAGATTTGTCCTGGTGACAGCAACCACTGTAAAAACAAATAAGATCTTTTTGAAAATTTTGATTAGCTCTGTTTGCTATAATACACTCTGAATTTGACTATTCTAGCATGTGATAATCTTGAAGCAGAAGGAGGAAACGTTACAATAGACTGGGCGTACCGGATGTACGAGCCTAAATGTGTATGCAATGGTATGGGACTTCTTTTCAGTATAACATAGTGTATGTTTAGAATCAAGTTGTTTACGGTAGATATACTAATGTGTATCTAATGTTTTAAGAAAGTTGTTTTAACTATCATTCGAAGAGAAATACACTCCCCTCTATAAGTTTGGCAACCTTAGCTCCCCCATTGAACTACGTGTTAAAGCCTCTTTACCTTTGAATTTTTATTTACTTAACCCGCGATGAAAATACTTATGCTGTTAATGGAAACGTAATTTGACTTTCTTTCCAAAACCTCCAAATTTTCTTAATTTTTTTTCCTCAATTGCAATAGGTCGAAAATTGATGATAAATTTGATGCATTTTTTAAAATCAACATTCCCATGTTAACCAATGGGAAATGGTAGGTTTGCCAAGTCATATGACAGAATATCCACCCATCAGTCATTGCAAAAAATACGAGTTAGGTAGGCAATTGAATTTGCTAACTTTATTTAACAAAAATCGATACGTTTCTTCAGGATTTACAAAGTTATAGGGCATTGTTTTTCAATAAACCTCTCCCATTGAAATAATACAGGAGGCGAAAAATGATTTTCAAAAATGACTTTGAAGCTTTCTGTAACTTTGGTATTCATCAACTAAACAAAATACTTCGTGTACAAAAAAAGTTAGACAATTCAATTTTCTTTATAAAAATATTTTTGCTGAGTCTTTTACTGAATAGATATCCTGATTTCTGATTTGCCCCGAACCCACTATTTCCCATTGGTTTACATGGGAATGACGATTTTCAAAAATTCATCAAAGGACCTTATACACCCTCCATTGGGATCTCCCCATGGGAAAAAAATAATTCATCTGATTTTTCAAAATGAGTATTCTGCTTCAATTATTACATTTATATGCACACTAGTATCTTGTTGACCTATTCAGCACTGTATTGATGTATGGGCCACTTATTAGGGTCATAATTCAATCATGAAGTGTAGAGGCATAGATTCCAAACCAGGAAGTATTTTTGTGTCTGTCAAAATCCATTTACATCCTATGCATCCCTGCATCTTATCCAAATATGTTACTACATAATGAAATATAATAGTATAATCTTTGGTTTTACAAACTTGTATGATATTTGATAAGTGTAAAAGTTGTTTTTGGAGCATTTTTCTATAGCCATTTTGTAGGGAAAAAAATGATGAAAAAATGTACAATCTTTTAATTTTGAGTATGACCTGAATCGATTGCAAACTTCATATTTGCACATTTGATGAGATAAACCATTTGTGTCGTATTGTGAAATTATTAAGTTTGCAATCGATTCAGGTCATAGTGTATTTTTGGTATTTCTGTGATAATCAATGGAAACCAATGGCCTCTATTAGGATCTGCTGATATCCTCATGTTAAGTCAATGGTGCACAGCCCCATGTAAGTCAATACAACCTTACTGATCGAAATGATCCCTATCTCAGCTTATGTGTGTCCGAGCACTTTAATATTTTCGGAAGTGTTATATGACATTTTATTCTTCATGTTACACCTACGAATGATTCATTTTGACCATAGGGATGTTTGCCAATAATTGCACCTTGTCCTTTATCATCAATTTTCCACCTTTTGTAATTGAAGAAAAAATGGAAAAATTTGGAGGTATTGGAAATAAGGTCAAGTTACGTTTGCATTAATATTAAAAGTCTTTTCATCGCATGTTAAGTAAATAAAAAGTCAAATGTAAAGAGGCTTTAACACGTAGTTCAATGGGGGAGCTAAGGTGGCCAAACTTTGGAGGGAAGTGTATGACTGTGTCATAATTCGCATAATAGGCAATACCATAACAAGCATACCCGTACCCTCATTTTAGGTAAGCCGTAGACAATGAATTTTGACTTAATTATTGGGTCAGTATGCCTTGTTACAAATATTTAGTTCTAGTGAGGGAATGCCTTACCATGGTTCACGAGATTTTCCCCGATGCCAAGAGGTCGTTATTCATTTCTAGGTTTCTCATTGCATTGTGTACCAAGGGGAAAGGAAATGTGAAGGAAATATTCGCTCTACAAATGTAATTAAGCATATAATTGAAAAAAAATATCACAGGATAGTTGATGTCATTTGCAATTGATGAGTGTTCAATCAATCAAAGAATCAAAAGACGACAGTGATAAAATAATGGTAATTCGAATTAAAGGTACAGTCATACTATTGACGACAGTGATAAAATAATGGTAATTCGAATTAAAGGTACAGTCATAGGATTGACGACAGTGATAAAATAATATGGTAATTCGTATTAAAGGTACCGTCATACGATTCGAATGGGGAGGTCACCACAATGTGGTTGTATTGAAGAATAGAACAGAGTTCGACGATTGTGATATCGGGGATGATGTCGCACCAAACTACACATATGTGGCAGAATACACGCTTGACCAGGTCAAACAAAATTAATTAATCTTTAAAGCGTATCGTTTGACTCTTCTTATTGACAACCCAAGCTTTGCTTTAGATGCATTTATTTACATTGCGATTGATCCGGTAAATGTCATATTCTAAAGAGGAAGTGGTCCAAATAACTGGTGCCTAACCACTTTAAACTATCGTTCTAGGTGAAAACATATTACGTTGCGTGTGGTGTGAGCATACATTGTTGTCTAACCACTTTAGATTATTGTTCTAGGTGAAAACATATTACTTTGCGTGTGGTGTGAGCATACATTGTTGTCAATAAAACCTAAAAATAAGCACTATTAGTAAATTGCAAATTATGACAAGAGATAAAATATTCATACGAATATAACATTTGTTTATTCTAAATCATTTCATTAGACATGGATATATCAGCCTCAAAAGTATACGCTTAAATTGGTCTTTTTTAATTTTGAGTATTTAAATTTAACACCAGATACTAGTAGTAGCGAGGAAGATGATGAAGAATACCACTGTATGCCAGCGCCTAAGTGTTTTAATAATGGGACATGTACGTCATGTCACGAGGGAGATCCTGGTTGTCTCAAAGAAGAGTTCATGTGTAACTGTACGGAACATTATACTGGAACTAAATGTGAATCTAAAATAGGTAACTTTATATACATTATATTCATCCTGTTTAACCCAGATGGTGTTGAAAACGATATTAGGGTATCATGCAATATATCTTAGGTCAAGGTTATAAATTCATTTGTATTACAGCCGTACGTCTGCTTCTTTAACATGCCGACGTGTGCTCGTATTCAAGGTGTATGCGTGCTCGTATTCCAGGTGTATACGTGCTGGTATTATATGTGCTGGTTTCCAGGCGTATATGTGCTCTTGAATTGTAGGATATAATGGATTAATGGATTTATAAATTGAATATTACAAGAGATTAAAATCAAATGACAAAGTTATTTCACAAGACATGATTATCTAAGCTTCGAAGGGTTAGAGTTGTCGTTTTAAACCTTGATTGTCTTATTTAACATGTACAGAAGAAGAAGAATACCACTGTATGCCAGCGCCTAAGTGTCTTAACAATGGGACATGTTCGCCATGTCACGAGGGAAATCCTGGTTGTTCCGACGAAGAGTTTATGTGTAACTGTACTGAGCACTATACTGGACGTATTTGTGAAACTAAAATAGGTACTTTTTTCTTTTAACCCATCATTTAAACAGTTGATCGTTTGAAACTGCGGCAAGGAGACCTCTATCAAATGACTCGATTGAGCGTTTAAATATCTTATTATTAGATACGTCACTGAATTACGAAATGCATAGTAATTGTAATTTCGATGAAATTTCTTTATTCCTTGATATCAAATGGCAACATGAATAATGCAATAGTAAAGAAATTAATCAATATTTTACATTTTATATTTGTTTAAGAATACAATAAATTTGATGTTGTTTCCCCTATATTTGAAACCTCAGAAACCACTGTGGTACCAGATAAGATGTATGTTTAGTTGAAGGAATCTGGAGACATATTGCGACTTTTGTTGAAGCTTATGCACTGACGTTAAAAATTGTGTATCATCAGATATTTGTTGACACCTTCCTGTTTGGGTATTATATCTTGTGACACGAGTTGTACAAGTCACGAAGATTTTATTTCAGTTTTTTGTTATTTTGACGTCATACAGTATCTCATCCGGGTGATCTTCATACACTTGGTGTTCAATTTGCAAACATATTGGTCTTTAACATCGCATAACACTATAACTACGAATTCGAATGTTTTTTTTTTGTAGTATGTGATAATATTGAACCAGAAGGAGATGTTACAATAGACTGGGCTTACCGGATGTACGAACCTAAATGTGTCTATAAGGGTATGGCAATTCTCTTCAGTATAACATTTAGAAACATATGTTGTTAACGGTTGAGATCTTTATTTCTTATGCATGTGATGTCTGTTAAAACCATAATTCGAATGGACATATGAGTCTATATTAAAATTCGCTTGCCAAGCTATACTTCAAAAATATACCATATCCTTCCTTTAAGGTAAAGTAGAAAATATGCGAGAATACAATACGGTGAGATAATAATGGTAATTCGAATTAAAGGTACAGTCATAGGATTGACGACAGTGATAAAATAATGGTAATTCGTATTAAAGGTACAGTCATACGATTGACGACAGTGAGAAAATAATGGTAATTCGAATTAAAGGTACAGTCATACGATTGACGACAGTGATAAAATAATCATTAAAGGTACAGTCATACGATTGACGACAGTGATAAAATAATGGTAATTCCTATTAAAGGTACAGTCATACGATTGACGACAGTGATAAAATAATCATTAAAGGTACAGTCATACGATTGACGACAGTGATAAGATAATGGTAATTCGAATTAAAGGTACAGTCATACGATTGACGACAGTGATAAAATAATGGTAATTCGAATTAAAGGTACAGTCATAGGATTGACGACAGTGATAAGATAATGGTAATTCGTATTAAAGGTACAGTCATACGATTGACGACAGTGATAAAATAATCATTAAAGGTACAGTCATGCTATTGACGACAGTGATAAAATAATGGTAATTCGTATTAAAGGTACAGTCATACGATTGACGACAGTGATAAAATAATGGTAATTCGAATTAAAGGTACAGTCATACGATTGACGACAGTGATAAAATAATCATTAAAGGTACAGTCATACGATTGACGACAGTGATAAGATAATGGTAATTCGTATTAAAGGTACAGTCATACGATTGACGACAGTGATAAAATAATGGTAATTCGAATTAAAGGTACAGTCATAGGATTGACGACAGTGATAAAATAATGGTAATTCGTATTAAAGGTACAGTCATACGATTCGAATGGGGAGGTAACCACAATGTGGTTGTATTGAAGAATAGAAAAGAGTTTGACGATTGTGATGTTGGGGATGATGTCGATCCAGACTACACATTTGTAGCAGAATACACGCTAGACAAGGTCAAACAAAATTAATAAATTTTCAAAGTGTATTTTCCTTATTTATTCATCACGTGTTTCTTTTTAGTAAAATATCAATCCAACTCTCTGAAAATTATGGATTAGGGCCCCACCCTGGCACTTTAAAAAAATGTTAGGCTTATTTTATAAAGAGGATCTTGCTTTTCTCAATTTAAACATATCAAAAGTTTCTTCTACACTATATGAACAATTTCTGAAAAGGGGATGCGTATTGAAATGCGTTAAAGTCAAAAACCACATATCCCATGTTATTTTCCCATAGGGAAAACTCGTGCTATCCATTGTTTTCAGCATCATTTTGGTCATTTAAAATTGATATTTTCAAAACTAGACTTTCAATACAATTATATTTTTGAAGATATTTTAGACCCCTTGTTGAATAATCTTTTCATGCAATAAAAATCATAAAAGGGAGATCCTCTTTTGAGTGAATAGGTTCAATATTTTGAAAAAAATGTTGATATATGGTGCCGATTCATAATTTAAAAACCACTGTATATATGCCCAGAAAGTACTCATGGTGAAAGATATGACCGTCTAAAATCACTTGCCATATTGCACGTGGTCTTTCTCCGATGGTTTTGTGTTCTGACCTATACTAATTTCAATGCTGTCACGTCAAAAGTGAGATTTCCCCTTGCTAAAAACAAAATCTTTTTTTTAGTTGAAAATCTACAAACTATTATTCGTGTGACGGATTCACCATATATCACACAAAACAAGGACAAAACATTTTATCTAGTGACTCTTATTGGCATAACATAAACCAAAGATTTTCTGTTGATGCTTTTATTTACACTGTGGTTGATCCATTAAATGTCAGATTCAAAAGAGGAATGGGTCCAAATAACTGGGGCCTAACCACTTTAAATTATTGTTCTAGGTGAAAACATATTACTTTGCGTGTGGTGTGAGCATGCATTGTCAAATAGGAGGACAGAAGATAGAAATTCAAGTAATCGAACGGCCAGATGGAAAATGCCAATGTAGCGAACGACTATACCAGCCATAACAACTAATTATATAGAGACTTTGTAGTGTTATAGAATGTGCCCAAATTCTCCACGTTAAAATAAAAGAAGATGCTTTCAATTTTAATTACAATCCATTTTGATTTGGTTGTGTATTACAAGTAATAAGACCTAAAGAATAAGCAATCAAAAGACTTTCTAAAAAATATTTGATTTTGCAAATTAATTAATTAGCGCAAATACTGCAACATATTGGTATGACCAAGCCGGTGACTACATGTATGACAGTAGAGACAAAGTAAATACTGACAACGCTAACAGGCATGAATTTGAAAGCAACATCGTTGTCAGTATATTTAGCATATAACTACTTTTTCAATGTGCACGAATGTGAAAACAAATTGAAGGCTTTGTATTTTGTAATTTGACATACTTTGTATACCCTGCCATGTAACTGCTTGTACATATTTTCAGTGAAAAATAAAAAATATATCAAAAACATTCCTGTCATACGTACATCGTCAATTCATATTTAATGGATGCAAAATAACTGTCGACATATCAATAGCGCGTTTAGAGATTTCAATAATTAGTCTCAAGGCGTGCCAATACTTTTTGTAACACTCTTAACACGTCTTTGCACTGTGTTTGCTTATACGTGCTTAGAGATGTCAAGAGTTGGATACATCGCGTGCCGTGAGGTGTCAAAAAGTGGCCCGCTTAAGAACCCGGCGTGCTTAGACTTAGTTTCTTGACGTGCCTTGAGTTGGAATTCCATATTTCACGCAGTGACTTATTTAAGTTAATGACAGGATCATAACAGTCATTACATTGAATGGAAAACAGCAAGTGGTATGAAATACTGTAATTGGCACAATCAACATTCATTGGTTTGATGTTTCACAACTTGGCATAAAACAAGATCATTTTGGCTTTCACCTACTTTGGCAATTAACGTAAATAAGTTTTCAATTGTTATGACCAATTTGGTTTTGTAACATCCGGTCGCTTATATTAAAATATTTTGGCTCACTTCTTAAGGTTAGACTAATGCCTGGGTCACATAGCCGCCGGGCGCCGGCCGATGAGTAGTCATCGGCCGATTTCTAAATCGACCGGGCGCCGGTGACTTTTCACCGATGTCTTGATCTAATCGTGAGTATGGTCACATTAGTACAGGCATCGTACAGCGCCCGCAATCAATTGAATCTGAAAGACATCGCACGGGTATCGCAAGGCTATCTGCCGATGGACGTACGGCACCCGCCAGGACATCGGTCGATCTACAGGCCTCTAGATTTATTCAAAATTCTTGTATGCTTGTTCCACATGGCGTGAATGCAAGATTTGAAAACGAAATACTTCGATAGACTTCCAGGATAATAATGTTTCCATGTAATAAAAATCAGAAAGATCCTCTTTTGAGTAAATAGGTTCAATATTTAGAAGAAAATGCTGACATGGGGTCCCTATTCATAATTTTTCAAATTGTTTGATTGATATTTTTACTATATCATGGGTACTTCAATTGAAAGAAAACATATTGTTTTAATAAAAACACTGTATTTATGCCCAGAAAGTACTCATGGTGAAAGATATGACCGTCTAAAATCACTTGCCATACTGCACGTGGTCTTTTCATAAAAGTGAACCCTGACCTTAATTCATTTTTAGATCTTTCATATAAACAAATACTATGTCTACCTGTCCATCCGATGCTATTAGCAAAATTCCATATTTCTGCATCTTTCTTTTGACTGTTCTCGTAAAGAGAATTTGTTTGGTCATAAAAATATGGCCTATCTTCAATGAAATTGGCGATTTTTTCTTCTATTTCAAGTGGAGTACCCTCTTCCCTAGACACATCTAAATCTTCATCATCCACCAGCTCACTAGCATTGTTATTGTCTCTTTCCACCTGTCTTCCCAAGGCCTTCCTGATATATGGCCCATTGGCCTTATCCCCTCTATCCTTATTTTGGCATATTAACTGTAATTGAGACAGTGAACTTTCGTATTAAAATTGTGACCCTTGAAAATACTGTACTCACAAAAACATTCAGAAGATTTTTAGTGAATTTTGAGTGAATATACGCATAGAAATGTATCACTCTATTCATTGTGTATGACAGACATACACGATTAATGTCAATATAAGAACGCCTAGATCAACCCTCCCACCCAGCCATTCAAATGTGTGTCATTGTTTTACAGTTAGCCTAATCGTTCCATTTATGTTTTATAGAAAATCTCTGACAGTGTGTAGTAATTATAATTCCTTACCTCATTATTTTTAAAACCTTTATATCACTTTATAAGTAATCATTATTAAGATTTATCAAACAAATCAGCACGCAAAATCCCAAGATGACCGTGCGATGCCACCGGGCGCCGTAAGATAATCGTACGATGATCGGACGGGACATGGCCGGGTAGGTACCGATGAGTTTGGTTGAGAAAAAATCGCCAAGACATCGGCGACTTTTATCTCCGCGATAAAACTCTGCCGGCGCCCGTACGATGTCTAAAAATCGGCCGATGAGTGGCGATCATCGCCCGGCGCCCGTACGATGCCCGGGCTCGCCGGCCGATTTTGAACAAAATATTCATCGGCCGGGCGCCGTAGTGAAAATCGGAGCCTATGTGACCAAGGAAATAAAGGATATGTATCGATATGGTGAACTGAAATCAACAATGTTTTTCTCTTAAACCAATTTTTGAAAACATTCTGTAAAAAACACAGTCCTTTATGTAATGTTGACTGATTGACAACAATTTAATGCCAAAATAATCTATATATAATTATTTTTGTTTACATTTTAACCAAAATAATTTATATATATATTATATAATTATTTTTGTTAACATTTTTTTGTTTTTTAGTGCAATTGTTTTTTGTTCCTTTTTACCAATTCTTGAGAATGAAATAAAATATCTTTCCGAAGCTTATTGGAACAAATATCATATACAACATTTTTAGACCTCTCAATATTATAGTTATCGTAGGAAATTTTGGTTGATTTAACAAAAAGTATTCAAAAAATTAAAACAAGAAAACAAAAATAGATAAAAATTAAGATAAACCTTTTATTTCAATAACAAGAGACTTTTTTTAAATCAAACAAACTTTCATTTGTACAATTACAATATTGAGCGACTTAAACCTGTTGGGTTTATATCATTTTGTTCCAATTAGGTTCGTATAGATGTTTCATTTCATTCCGAACATACGATACCAAGAACAAAAGAAGTGTCTGATGTGTAAAAAATATAGAGAAAGATATATTTATTTATCCCATACTTGGACGTGTTACAGGTACATAAAGCCGGTTTGTAAAAACTTATATTTTCACCAGCGGGCAGATATAGCCTTACGTCCCGCTCCGAGCGGGCAGATATAGTATATCTGCCCGCTCGCCGTTCGCATATTGGTTCATTTTTGTAACTTTTGCAGACAATCGCGATCTTTTTGATGGTTTGAGGAAGGGAATGAGCAAAATGCCCTGTTAATAATCAAAAATCTAAAGAACTGGAAAATCAGGCCACGCCCAAGAAAACAAAACAAGACATGAATATTCTAAAATAATACCACGAAGTTGCAAAGTTTCTAAACTGTGGCCAATTGAACAATGTGAACTAAATGACCAAGATTGGTATGGGAAACAGATCATCCTATAGTCGGCCCTCGGGCAGATATTTTATATTGGCCTCGGGATAATCCCAATATCCTGAACCTCATATAGGATAATCTCTATTTATTTCAATTTATATCGAATGTTTTCAATAATTGTTGAATTCAGTTCACCATATCGACACATATCCTTTACTCATAAGACAATCCTGTCTATAAAAACAACATTTTGCTTCAATGAATTCTTGACGAAATTCTATTACAATGTAAAATTTGGGGGAACTTTAACAGGGGTTTCGCACGAACCCCTCGAACCCTTGGTCGCTACGAGAATGAATGGGCAAATATACGAGTTAAACTGGTTATGTAAATCACAAACACGATATGTAGTGGGGAGTCTATTTGTAAATCAACAAAATAAAGAGAGCATGTCTTATATAATGGTATAATATATTTAGTAAAATACTTGTTTTATAAAATAATCATATAATAATCTATTTTGTTCTAAATCCTTAAAAAATGTCAGCTAGTCAGCAGAAAATGTCTGTAAAAATAACACTTTCAGCGTTCAGTAATCCATTATTTGGATAGTTGTAACTTGTTTTAGTCCGTTTCCACCAAATGGATAATTTATGTTCAAATGATTCCTCCCTTATTGTAAAGGAATCACAGCACTTGTTTTGTACTTGAATATGCTTTGAACGTGAAGATATACAAATAATTCATGAATATTCCACTACCTTAAATTCAAAAAATATATTGCAACATACATATACTGATAATAATATCGTTATAAAGTGAGTCTATATCAATGCTCTATGTAGTCTTATTACTCGTCCTTATCCTTTTCACGTCACTTGTTGCCAAGCTAAGCGTATATGTGTAACATCACCGATTAAGCATACATGGTCATTTGCATGAACTGAAAAAAAGAATTTAGCACATGATAGATTTACCTTATGTAGCACCGACCAAATTAATCGAAAAATAACGACAACTTTAAATAATTTTAACTTTAGTACTTTCTGATTTTGTTAATCATATATACATATACAATACAATTTAACACGAATGCAATTAATTTAATTAGAAATACAATAAGAAGGCGTTTAATTAAGAGTAAACTACATGTTAATTGTTTTGAAATCAAAGGAAGATCTTCAGTAGCATGCTATAAGCGGCACCTAGGTTCCTATTTACAGTATGGCAATGTAATGAAGGCGTGAGGACGATGCTATACATGCTTTTTTAATATAATAAATGAAACATATTTACAGTGTATGGTGCCTATGACAACCATGACTATAGGTTAATAATAATGATGTAACATAAGCCAAAAGAATATTGCAATGTAGTTGCTTAGCTGCAATTAAGCCTTTCGCGATCGTGGTTCGCTCTTTAATCGAGAAGGTACGGAAATATGTACTATATCTAGCTAGTACTTATAAAACCCTCAAAAAGGACAAAATTGGATTGGTCAATATTTTCCAACGATGCATTTCGCGTAGGTATTTGGGTGACACGAAAGTTCTAAATCAATCTAATTACGCAATTTTGTTTTTACACTCGCACGCTAAATAATACAATGGCACCGTCAGAAGTATTGTTCTTTGTCATCGCTTTAATGGCCAGTATACCGAGTATAACCAAGAAAACCTTGTACAAAGACCAATAAAATTCTGAAACGAGTACTAAAGATTTGCTTTCGGACTCTGAACCGGTTGACCTAGATAACAGCGACGCGTCTTCTTTGGTCAACTGCTCAGTTGTTTGTGGGTTTCCAACGTAACTCTATAATGCAAATTGAAGATTAGTACTTTTATTCTGTTGTTGCATCGAAGTTGCAGTTTGTGGTGCGGTAAGATTGGAATGAAAGTGTTGAAAGTCGAATGAAATTATTTTTTTCCAATATGGCGACTAGTCAACTGATCACGTGACCCTTTCTTCCGGAATATTTTCTTACTTTTCAATCATCGTTTTCACCACGCTATAAATAAAAACAATAGAATATCTGATATATAAAGATTACTATGAGATCAATTGTTTCTGATAATGTTTTTGTACTCAGGTGCGGGAATATGAACGAATATATAGATTGAAAAATAGGTGTGAAAATCCCCATGTTCAACCTCTGGGGGAAAACAAGGAAGTATGAATTTGTTCCTCTGCGAACTACATCATGGGAAATATTTTGATCTTATGAGGAAATATTTTTTCTATAGCTGTATAAATAGATGTCACCACTTGTTATTATTTGTTTTGATTGGGTCAGACTTCAATAGGCTTCAATGTTAAAAACTTGCAATGCAATAGTCACTCGATCGAATCTGTCTAAACTCAAATCTCACACTAAGGGATAATCCGCGGTAATCTACATATTTTGATTAATCATGAAAATGTTATTTGTCGAACGAACACTCCGAGATTTTAAAGAATTTAAACATTACATCAATAGAGATTTATAAGATTATAAATCAAAGATACAAGGTGGCCTAAAACTAAATTCACTTTCTCTTATTTATGATATCCAAAAATCATTTTGCGTAGTCCTACATGTGAAAATATTAATATATATGCCATGGATAATATAGAGAATTTGAAAAATAACGTGCAAATGTTTTCTTTAAGTAGAGTGAATGTAAAAATATGTTGATTGACAAACATACACTATTCAAGCGTGCAAGTTCAAAACGCAATGTTATAATCTAAAATGCACAATGATATGAAAATAATAAAACAATAAGTCGGAGAAATGCCACAACACTGTTTTCACAAAATTGATGATTTATTATAATTCGAAAAGCTCAGATTTGTGTTGCAAACTGAAATGGCGTCCACAGGGCTGCATATGGTGCCACCGCCCTTTTTGAGTCAATCCCTGGGGATTTTGTTCATGGTGCTGAGGAAGAGATTCGGAGGAAATACCTGTAAGAACTATAACGTGCTCTGGTGAAAGAGGTGGAGCTAGACTCCAAGTGCAAGCTATGGCGATGCAGACTGTTTTTGTTCTATTATGTTATGTAGACGCACACCCCTTGAAAAGAATCCTGTTGGCGCACCTGTATGATTACCTTTTTGTCATTAATCAAAGGATAGTTTGACATAATCAGTTCATTGTAATTTTGCAAAAACAGTGTGATACAAATCTACTCATAGTTTAAGTCTTAACCTTTCTGTTTGAGATTCTTGTTCAACTATCTACGAATACATGGTCGTCTGCATGAACTACAAATAAAATTAAACTTGTTGCATTTATAATACAGGTTGTTCAGTAAGTAAAGCTAATTTTATTTATTCATCATCAATCATTTCAAGAGGAACAACATTTGAAATGTGAATATAAATTCCAAAATATGGTTAATGGCATAGGAAGAGGAATAGTGACAGCTTCCATAGCAACTTGGAAAAGGGAAAGGGGTCAAAATTCGCTTTACTTCACGTATCATTATTATGAAATAAAAATATGAAAAAAGTTTTAAGGAGGCAACAAAAAGTTGAATTCAATACTTCTTCAGTATAATCGTGTTATATGTACATGTACATTTATCATTACAATCGTAATTGTGACAGTAGAGGTTAGGGTGATGCCATGCAGTTAGTGGAACACTGAAGATGTTTAAAGATGTTGCAGACGTTGAAATTCCACATCTTCTTGAAAAGTAACGTGATCACCAAGTCAAACCCGTATATAATGAAAATATAATTGATGAAGTTGAATAATGTGAATAACTGGGATATGAAGATACCAAGATCAAGATACCAAGATACCAAGAAGATATCAATGAAATGAAAGTATACCATAAATAGAAGAAGTAACTGTTAATGTCTTGGTCACAATTGCTCCGATTTTCACTACGGCGCCCGGCCGATTGAGTATTTTGATCAAAATTGAATACAATATTGAACAAAACACGCAATCGGCCGGGCGCCGGAAGATGGATCGGAGCAAATGTGACCCAGGCATAACCGAATGATTGTTAGCCCATAAACCCTCATCTTCGACTGAAGTTGAAGAAACTGAAACCTTGTGAATCAACATGATAAACCTCATATTGTTAGAATGATAATGGTGATAATGCTATCCAAACTAAGGTGAATTATATATTTAATCATCTTCGGTGTGTAAGCAGGTGAAGATTACTAGCAAGTTGATATACAATATCAAAATTGAGTCATGAAAACACTGTTGCTCACCTCGTCCATTTGGAATGTTGACGTTCCATCATCAGTCTCATTGCTCATGTAGGTGGCTGAAATCCAAATGTACATTTGTGTGTATATCGCAGTATAGTATATGGCGGTTCCTTCAATAACCTCAGTAACTGTACTTTCATCTATAGTATTTCAGTTGTTAAATTAAGGTTCAGTACTTTTTGACAAAAATGGGGGACATGTTCATGTCTGTGTCCGTGTCTGTGAATGCAATGTTCACGTGTCTGTTGATTATTGATTAGGGCATTTGGGCTGTTTTCTACATGCATTTTCCTTTCACAGTTTCTAACCAACATGTATTGCAACGGGACGTTTATTCATAACTAAAACAGTTTCTTTCAATAGACCTTTCCAATAAATTCTACCACCTTTTTGTAGATGAAAGAAGTTAGGATATATTGGCTTGATTAATGATGTCACTGGTTGTTGGTATCAATTTGCCCAAGTAAAAACAGGATTTACTTATTGCTAATTTTGAAAAAGAACAACCTATGACATCATCAATGTAGCCAATATATCATAGATTCTTTGATGTATCAAAGGATGGCAGGATTTACTGGAAATGTCTATTGTTCTTCGATTTCAAGTGTTAATTGATATCTTATATTATTGCCTGACCTGTCATTGTCTTCAGCTTAACCATACAACTGATGAAATCATCGAACTCAACCAGTCCTTCATTGTTGCTGTATCTCATCGCCACAGCACTAAACGTTGAGTTACTCAGCTGATATTCTGTTCACATAGAAAATGTATATTGATTTTATGTCAGTTAATGTTCTTTATATGCTTTACAAATATTTCAATATTAGTTAAATTCTATATATAAAAACGATAGCGGTTTTAACACTTCAATTTTTTGTTCTTTGTTAATACTTCTGCATGTTGACATTAGAGTAAGTAAAATGTATGGACGAGTTAAGGTCAATTACTAAATTCAATTTTACAATATATTTCCACATCATCTCTATTTCATCTTTCCATATCATTTACACTAACAAATATGGGTTCCTTCACCCTCAATGTATTTTGCTTAATGTTGCATCATACTCAGTCTTTTGAGGGCTGATCGAAGTTCATAACTGCTGAAGTGTCCACTGCCGTCAATATCTACCTCGTTAAAAACTTGCTGAAACACAAAACCAACACTTAATATCATTATGATTGTGATTTTCAGGAAAATGATATAATACGTACGATTTATGGATGATTGAATTATTTTTCAAACGAAGGTATTTGACTGTCTATTCGTCTGATTGTAAAGATTAATACTGTTCTGATACTATACAGGGGCTATCATAACTATTAAAGGAGATGTGATACTGATACTAACACCCCAATCACATTTCCTACGGCGACCTTGCGGTCTATCATTTCTGCGGCCAGTAACATTTTTACGCTCGCCGTGGAATTTCTGTGCTCTCATACTTTTGCAGTCACATTTCCCACGGCAGCCGCACGGTGATTATTAAATTTCTGTTGATAAATAATACTTTTTTCATTTTATTTACATCGGGACAATTTATAAATGTTATCCATAGTGCTAGGATGTAATATCAAAATGAAAAGTGATCGTGAAAGATTGACAAATAATGATTCAATCTTGTTGAGCCAGTTGATTTCTACGGGGACCTCAGAAATGAACAAATATTATAACTCCGAGTTATAATTTCTACGGCGACCCTGCGGCCTGTAAAAAACTGGATACGCCGTACGGAGGCCGCAAGGTGAGCGTAGTTTTATGTTAAAAACAAAGGACATTAGGTAGAGTAGTTATGAAGTATGAAATAAGAATATGATATGTCATATCAATTGTGATTTGAAATATATTATCAAAAGCGCTTTGACTGAGAATTCAGTTCTTTGATAGTTGCCCCGGGTCTTCATGCTTTCTGTTGCTATGGCAACCATAACTTCAACCAATCACATCACTTTGATCTGTAACTTGGTATTTCAATTCAATAATGTTTGAACATTATTCTGTGCAAATTCTATGAGGATTGGGTAAAATCTGAAGAAATGCCAGATACTTTTACCTTATTTATTGATCACCCTGTACTCTTCGTTATTGAAAAACAATACAACTTACCTTCCATAGTTTGAGGTCACCATAGAGTCCTCGGAATTCCTCGAATCCAAGTTTACCAGTATAATCAAGCTTAAACGTGTCAAGGAATGTTTCTAGAACAACGTTATTACATATTAATATCGGGTTTAAAAGCATGAGTGTATGCACTTAACTGTTCGCATAATGCATGAAGACGGAATCCGAGTACATCATCAGTACACTAATGAAATCTTCAAAATCCAATAAATAATTATACAGGATTCTTTATTTCAATTAAAATATACTATCACTCCTTTTTAAAAATGACATTGTATTCAGTTCTTTACTCGGCATATTTGAATTGATTGTAAATGTCGAATTAAAGTGAACCTTATTATTTAGATATTAATATGTTACAAGGATACGTCTCTAGTAGCAACAAGACTTCTGCAAGCATCAGTTGTGAATCCCCCGAAATCGAAATCTGAAAAAATAAAAATTTACAATAACTTATTGTAACATACAGTTTATATTCTGATATATTTTCATTTTGGCACCGTTTTCAGTATGTAAATCTAGTTGCTCCATCTAATGATTCATGTAGTAAACATCTACCTAGCTCTTCATCTCTAAGCCACAACTGGATATTCTTCTTTGTTTTGTTTTATTAATAAAATTCTACGCAAATACGTATCTTGCTGGACATACGTTTTATTGGCTTATCCATAATTTCTAATAAATAACAATAAATTAGAGTGGTGAAAATACATGGAACAATTAGACACATGAGGCCAAAACTTACGCTGTCCATAGACCTGATTAAGAATATCCTTCAGTTCATATGCGTCTATTTCACCGTCTTCCCCAGCTAGATTCTTAAATGCTTCTAATGCCCGATTGGCCTGTTCCTGGTCCTCTTCATTATCTTCTGGTGGATCCTCTAGTTCACCACCAACAGCCGTCTCCTCGTCTATCTCACTAATAGGAAATAAAATATACTCTTTGTTGCTTCTGTATGCAAAACTATATTCCAATAGCTGTGTATATTTAACAAGTAATATACGTGGAAGCACTGATCTATTATTCTAAATATCACGAACAGAATGATACCAGTGACAAATGGAGACTTGTTGCAAGACTAAACTTCTTTATTACACTTAGCTTCTTGTACCTCATTTTAACAATGGCAATAAAGAGCAATATTTATACTTATACTTAGCTGTTTACTAAATTATACATATAACCTACCCTGTCTCGTTTGGTTTTTCGCTAAACACCCTCAATATAAAATCTGCCTCTTGATCGGGATCAAATGTAGATGGAACGATAACATATTCCCCGGGTGTCAAACGATGTCGGAAACTGTTCTCTCTGGTGTTGATAAAGTTTGGGGAACGATCTGCAGATGCATGCGTTTCGAAATATTGACTCGGTAGAGTCCCAGATCCAGAGTCTTCAAGCTGAAAGCAAGATGACGGACATTTTGTCATTCCCTGAAATCATGTTTATTTTCTTAATATATATGATTCATACTTTGTTCGTTAAAATTCAAACCTTCACGCCATATGTATATTCGCATGTATGACAGGCGCTTGAATATATCAGAACGAGGTTGTAGCGATCTAGAACGAGTCGCTGAGAAAAAAGAGTAGATATAATGACTGTAAGCATAATAATACAAGGTACGAGAAGTACTACCTGATATATTGCATAGCCAATTGGATGATTATCTTCGCCAGTTTTACGCAGTTTCCTACGGCCTTTCTGCATTAAGCCAACAACAATGGTTCCCATCTCTTCATCGTCATCGTCATCAGCGTCTGGGATGTTTATTCTATATTGGGGGTTCATCGCAAAAGATCCTAGAAGAACATTTATTTGGGGTTCATCGCAAAAGAACTTAAAATAACATTGATTTGGGATTCATCTCAAAATAACTTTGAAGAACATTTAGTAAATAACTGTTTCGCATGATGCATACATAGACGATAACTTTAATTCAAATTGTCTGGGATAAGCTGATGTCATGATAATGCCATAATAAATTATGAATTATAGACTTATTTTAAACAAATAAAGCGCCCTACTTTTATATTCACCAACTGGACATTATTATCAACATGAAACTTGTCCCAGTTATAGAAAACCTGTGGGGCAAGTCAAGGGAGTGGCATATAAAATAACAAACATACTTGGATAGTTCCTGCAACCCCCAGCGCTGGATCTCCGCCTCCATGACCCTTCCTGTAATGTCATTTCCCAGCGTGTGTTGCCATCGTCATCCTCGAGGGAATCTGGGCCAAGGTTACATATCTCTAGTCGCATGAAGTTTGTGGAGAAGTCTTCATATGACATCCTAAACATAATTTTAATTTTACACATACAGTAACCATATTAAGTGTATGCACATAGTCAATTTTAGCCTCTAACTCCACAAGAAAACAAAGTATTTTCAATCGGATGGTGTCATGGTGTTAGGGATGATTTAATTTGAAAACGATATAATACATGGCATGGTTTAACACATAGTTATATATGGTTCCCATATGATGCTTGTGTTTTTATTGTTATTGAAGTAAAAAAAACACAAAAAAATCCAATGTTGGAAATTGTCTTTAGTTTATGGGCGCTAAATGATATAGGGTAGAGTGTTCAAATCACGAGTCAAAGTTATTATCAAAAACTTGTGTGGGATACTATCATATTAACTTTAAATTACGGAAATTGGACAATAACTACACTTCTAATCGGATCATAATACAGGGAGACAGGTCATCACTAAAACCCCATTATCATGTTCTTACCAAAACTCGCCATCATATTCCTTGGATAGCCCCAACTCTTCCTTTTCATCATCCGGTACAAACTGCCATTCTTCTGACCTAAAATGTACACATGCTATGTGGTTCTCAATGTTATGTGATATGGAGTATTACACAAAATGTATTGCATCTTCAACAAAATTGTGAACGACATTTAGATTAGCGTAAATTTGGATAAAGCATCAGTCATATATTTTCTATGACGACCGTAACTTCACAAAATCGATATAGGAAATCCTACATCGTACTTCTTATCACGATATTTTATGCTGCATATTTCTCTCGATTTTGGGAAGCTACGACCGTCGTACGGTTGCCGTGGATCAAATGTGAATATGGCATAACGATGGGCGCATATTTGTGACAATTAATGCTCATAGGATATTACTTAAAACATATTTTGTTTACCGATTTTATCATTTTCCATATTCTTTACCAATTAGAAAAGCAGTTGTAGCTAAAGCATAAATTAGGTTATATTCTTCTCAAGTTAATCGTATACGTCTATGTAATGTACGAATATAGAATTATGGATGTGGGAAATATTCATCCATAATAAAACTCCCATATACAGAAATTAAAGCAATGGGATTATACTGATGATTTTTAAAATCTGTTGAAATGATGTACTTACGAGTCACTCCAAGCTCCGCGCCACTCGCATTCGTTTCCCCATGGATTCCGCACTCTTACCATTGGAATCACTCCTGATGCTGTTGGAGTTTCCACCTCCACCTAAAAAGTAGTTCCAGAAAGTAGTTGACAGGTAACATTAGAAGATTTTATTCGAAGGCATATTATATACGTTTTGGCACTACTTTTATTGCGTTGGTTGTTATAATTATGCGACTCTTTGTTAAGTACAATCATCATTATTTACAAAAAAATAATAGAAAATATATCTGAACGTTACGACTCACGTATTTTACTGCTGTGACACTATAAGCATGGCCTATCACCAGACCGTTGTCAAGCTTCGCCTCCATCTCGTCTGGGTTAGCCTAAAATGTTTTTTATTTTTATCTTTTATGAGTATTGTCGATTTTTCTTTGATTTTTATATCTTTAATTTTTCATAGTTATCTTTGATCGTTTTCATGAATACATTTGAAATTTCCATAATTAGTTTAATTGTGTCTGATATTTCTGAAATTTCTGAAATTTCTTCCGTAGTACATAGTTATAAACTTATTGACTGATGTTCATACTAAAACCGGAATCAGAGTATTCTTAACAATCGTAGACAATTTAAACAGATCATTGATCTACTAATGACAGTATTTCATTCCTTACTCCATTCAATATAACCACTAATCACACAACCACCTGGTGAGCAAGCTAATTGCGAAACTTCACGTTTTAAACTTTTTTGATTAATATCTGGATGATTGTTATAACAAGAAGGGGTTCATACTTACGTTAATGGAGCACCCCATTATGGAGCCCTTTTCATAAGCTCTAAGCATGACTTTAAATAGGTTATCTGGGCAGTCATTGGCCATATCAACTAGTTCCACAACTCCGCCTGTGAAGTCAGTCATTGCCTCGCAAGTAAGCCCACCGGAAAGGCTCTCATAACATCCGTTCAATCTACAATAAAAAGAGAAATTTGAAAGACTGGATCAAAATCCACATCCACATTGTTCTGGTAAATTTTCATTCATTTGCATTACTGTTCAAAATATTTTTATCAATTATTACTTTTTTATTAATAAAATTGCTTTTGTAGTACTTTTTGCTCGTAACCTCAGAGTAGAAATCTGTCCCATTTTTTATTACATACCCTGTAAGTAAACTATCATATATTACATGTTATAATAATCACAGTTTTGTAATAATTTTCCCTTACTTTGCATAGGCCTTTTCCAAAAGAGGAGTCCAAAATTCATTCCTTTCTTCAGAATGCATATAGATGAGTTTATCGTTGTATGTGGGGAGTCTATCATCTATAATCACTTCAACCCAGCGCCCATACTGCCAGAATTGAAACCTGAATATACCTGGAGGTTGAAAACAGACGTTTTATATGAATATTATTCAATCATTATTGAAAAATTAATTTATATTAAGAGCAGACATAAAAAAAATTGAAATCCAACTTGTCATTTTAGGTATATGTACATATCCATATTTTAGAATTTAGATCGAGGGATTGAGATCTACATGTACAGTATGTGTAAAACATGCATGCGTTTCCTTTTGTTGCATTTGGGTTTCGCTCATTACGTTATGGATTTTCTGTTTTCCATTTTATGATATATTTCAGTGTTTATTTCGTAGAATGGCAGAGCTACTTTCTCTCTTACATTGTATTTTTTATGTGACGATATTGACTGATGAACATTTCGCTGTGAGTGTGCACTAACTATGCATTAACAGATTAAACTTCAAACATAGGGCTGTAGGGAGGAGAAATTTAAACCTGACAAAAATGGCATATTTGCTTTATATTGATATCTAAGCAGGTTTCAGGCCCCTTAAAAGACACTCACCTGCATAGTCTTCAGAGAAAGACTGATCTTGTGGCACAACCCTGAACAGAAGCTTTTCATTGGTTGCTAAAGAGGCCACTGCTGCTAGTAACCAACAGTCTCCGAGGACCCCTTGATTGATATCGAACCTGCTTGCCTCACCAACTATTAGTTGTGGATCATCAGCAAACTCCTAAAAATGGTTTGTCATAAAATATGTAAAACACCCCAAAAAGATATAAGAATCTACATAGTCAATTTGTATTTGATTTATACATATGGCAACTGTGGTACAGTATGTACTGTAGAAAAACATTGATAAGTAGTCCATCTCGACATATTTTTAGTCTCGGGTCGTGTAGAAAAGAGGATCACTTGCCATCCATACCTTTGCTGGACAGGAGGCTTAACATTTTCAATGTTGTCCAAATGTGTAGTCTTGCCTATTTGGCCAAATAATCATTATTTATTGCCTTGCATCCAAATCTACTTACACTTGGGCGTTTCCACTCTACCGGGTAACACGGTGGTGGACTGTTGAAGAATATAGAGCAGTCTTCCGCAGGGAAATCAGGGTCTTCCCAAAGTCCACCTGAATTATAAAAATTGCAATTATGGGTGGAGAACGCAAGTTCAATGACAAACACCATCTCGACACCACGGTAGTGTATATTGTTAGTAATTACCTCACTGTTTATGTTTTATTTCAGTTTTTCAGATTTTATTACCGAATTGAACTGCGTGTAAGTCATGGGATTAAGTTTTAATAGCACTTATCTTCGAATTTATTAAAGTTGCAACACAAAAAGCGGATTATACTATGCAGTATATTTTGTTGGGTAAAACTTTTAACTAAAACTACCTTTTCTCAAAAGTAACCTCTGTTGACTTTATTTAGACATAGATGGCTCTTGGATACATAATACTCGCATACTATTACGTACTTGGTATTACGGGTTTTGCAGCCATACTTGCAGTATAATGTATATTTACCTGATTCCAAACATTCTGCTTTGATTTCCTCATAGGTTTGACCTTGACCTTCCTCCGAAAATCCAGATTTATTCTTACTGGACCCCCTTCCCGTATCTCTGATTGTTGGTCTGGGGTCGGGTCTAGGGGCAAATCTACTTCCCCATCCCTTCAAGTAACGTCTTAGAAAACTCATTTCAGAGCTTGTTTATTGCAATGATGTTTTAATGAACTTAAGCTGCCGTGTCACTTATTCTAATATCAACACCATAGAAGAGATTGGACCTTGAATTGCAATTTAGTCGTATAAATATGCGTTCCGATTCAGTTCACTGTGCTGTTCTTCAATGTCGTTTCTCACTGTGATTTCACTAACCAGGACAGTGATCGCCAAATGCTGAAACATTAAAATAAGTTAACATATATGTTAAGCAAAATACTCATAGACGTTAAATTAAAGGAATGAACACATTTTGACTGTGTCAGAATGTTCCCTTTCCTATTTATAGAATAAGATCAAATTCAGACTATGGATGGATATTTAGTTTACCTGTTTGGGATTTGATATGCTTGAGCTTAAAACATATTTCATCTTTATCTATTTCGACTCGGTTTTCAAAGTTACAATTCACTTTGGAATGTGAATGTTAAAATAAGAACTTTCCTATTTGCGTCGACTGAGGATAATTGTACATCTACATTTTAACCTTTATTATAGTACTCCCTTAAATGTGAGGTAAATTTGAGTTTTTCCTTATTTTTGATTTTTGCGAATTTACCCCACATATCATTCAATGTTCGAATCAAGGAGTTTTGGATGAGTTGGAACCGATTTATCGCAAGAAGAAGAAGGCATGCGAGTCTACACCACATTTTTGGGTATATTCTCGTGGAATCGTTATTAGATTATAATTTACTAGACAATATTGTCTTGTGACGTGGACATAAGTAAGACTAAAAAAGAAAAAACCGACGGAGACGAACATTTTCGCATATTTGTAATATCGTACAATGGAATTCGTCAGTATCGATCATTTATAACGAACGTCCATCGACTGCATATTTCTTTTGAAATACTAAAAGCAGTTTTTTCAAAAATCAATAAAAAGAAAATTGTTTTTGGTAAAAATAGGTTTAAACGCTTTCAAATAAGTTCTTATTCATGATGAATAAGTGAGTACGGACAAAATATCTCTACGTCAACGATTTAATCAGGACACATCACAGCTAAAAACTTAAAATAAATATATAACCGTTTGAATGACTTGTTTCCGGGTTACCTTACTGTATATCGAGTAAAGCACTCGTATATTATATACGACCCTATTAACATAAGAGGTAAACGTATTTAAATACATAGACCCAAAATAAAGTGACCTGCCTACTTTAATATTATTACTTACCTAACCTGAAGGTATACAGGTATGAATTAATATACTCACATAGGTACTATCAGCGTGTATATGAACCACATCCGTGAAAATGCATGTTATTTTTAACTTCAGTTCATATTACGCTGTTGAATGCCCAATTACGATAACTTGATCAAGGACGACATCAATTGATTGCATGATTGATGCCGGTGTCCCTACCCGGTCTACCTGACTTGTTGCTCCCACTCAGTAATATTTCACCATTGTAAGTCTCTGCCCCCCCCCCCCACACACATCTACCTCAACGAGTCATTTAATGCTCCAAGTTAAGACATGCAACATTGCAAGTCCCCCCCCCCCACCTGACCGTTCTGCTTGCAACCCAGATTCCAGGTGTGATATATCTGTATGTATTCGGTGGTTAATGTAGGGTTTCTCAAGCGATTTGTGTACGATTACCCCAACTGAGTTTACGACTTATGTTACATTCAGCAAGATAGGAGAGTATTCAGAGCTATATTACCCTTCGTTCGACTTCATTTCTTAAAAGAGAGCTTCGTCTTCATTTATAACTAGACTCTACGCGCAGGGTAGAGCTATATAGTCTGATGCCAATAAACGTCCTGTGGTAATTCTAAAGGGAATGGTATTACCTTAGTTTGAAAGCTTGCAAGTGTTACATACATGTATCAAAGGCGTGGGTGGTGAGGATTTATTTTTTTAGTACTAACCAAAAATGTCAAAATGGCCTTAGTAAAGCTGTCCTGTTTAGGAACCCCTATGTAGTGTATATCCCCATGTTAATCAACGCATCCTCGCTGAAATCCTCATTTTCTCAGAAAGCTCAAGTTGATCCATTCTCAACAAGTAGATTCATGTTGATGAGTATTGCTAGAATCCATTTTCAATATTAAGAATAGGGGTTCTTAACATTTCACTGGGCTTGATTTTTAGAATAGTTGGTTGGCTGTATTCATTAAGCAGTGTTAATTCAAACGTATGTAAAAAGGTATGTTAAACATGAACATATCTCAGTATTGTCAATTGGCAGAGAGCACAATGCCCTGGAGATAAAATGTGCGACGGAATAATAAAAAGTTTGTTTATATTGAAATGAGTGGTGTATTATTTGTCATAAAATAGTTCTTCAAATCACACCGTACAACTTACTTTTATCTACAAATGATCATTAATCAGTTTGAAGCACTGCTCCAATAAAGTAGCACAAGTATGTAATAACGCATATCCTTAATTACAGTAACATATTATGGGAGGATGTGCACTAGACTCTTGAACACCTGTGCACACGATTTGTGGTAAACTGTTGGTTGAATAATATATTGAACAATATATTATAAGTACTTGTAACACGGTGGGGGCCCCGGGTAAGGGGCTCCCTGGTCAAACTCGCCCGTTTTAGTTGCTGTGCATGTCACTGACTCTACACAAGACAGAGTGAAAACATGAATAACGACTTCGAAATTACTAAAATATGAGTTGTACAGACTTGGCCCTGTTGACATATTGATGATAAAAAGTAAAACCCTATACGGTTGTAAGTGTGGGTATGTGGAGAGTATGCGGAATAAATAAAAATGAATGCAAACGTAGCTGTGAATAACAGAGTAATTTAAAATACCAAGGTGAGTTCTCTATCATGAATGAACATAGAAAGTAAGCCATATTGATCTTTAAGATATGTGTGATACTAAATTCATTATTGAAAATTCCAAGCGGTAGATTTCCTATATCGTGTAAAATCAAATACATATCCCGCATGAATATAGGCAAAGGCAATTCTTAAAATCGCGGATTCGGTAGTATTGAATCTCTAATAAAGATGGCGCGAAAGTTTTTCCTTATAAGGTCAAAATATTTCCCATGATGCAGTTCGCGGGGGAACAAAATTTTTCTACCTTGTTTTTCCCCGTTGGTTTAACATGGGGATTTTCATACCCATTTTTCAAGCGATATTTTCGATCGAATCTCCATGCGATCGGAGAAAACAAACTATCAGAAACAATTAGTCTTTTAATAATCTTTATATAACATATATTTTTTTTCATTTTATTGGCTCCTAACGGGGTGAAAACAATGATTGAAAATGGGAGTATATTCCGGAAGAGAAGAAGTCACGTGACTAGTCGCCATATTGGAAAAAGCAATTCCATTCGACTTTCAACACGTTCATGCCAATATTACCGCACTACAAACTGTAACATCGATGCAACAACTGAATAAAAGTACTCATCTTCATATTACATTATAGAGTTACGTTGAAAACCCACAAACAACTGAGCATTTGACCAAAGAAGACACGTCGCTATTATCTAGGTCAAGTTTAGTGGTTCGAAAGCAAATCTTACATACTCGTTTCCGAATTTTGTTGTTAATTGTATAATCTTTTATTGATTAAATCTGGTATACTGACTATTAATTCAATGACAAAGAAGAAGAATTCCGATGGTGTCATTTTTTTATTTAGCTTGCGGGTGTAAAAACAAAATTGCGTAATTAATTTGATTTAGAACTTTCGGGTCTCACAAATAGCTACACGAAATGCATCGTTGAAAAATATTGACCAATCAAATTTTGTCCTTTTTGAGTACATATATGCACCATATATGCGAACGTTCTGATTCAAAGAGCGAACAGCGAAATGGAGAATAGAATATATCCTCTTTACTAACAAATGATCAAATGTATGTATCCATCCTAACTGTAGTCCAGAGGTTATTAAATGCTTTTCCACCAGTCTCGCCTCAAGACCCTGGACCCCTTTCCCCTTATCTACTTTACAATCCTGTTGTTAAAGATAAGGGTGGTCCAGTTTTTGAAGCAAGACTACCTTCTGTGGTAACCCGACAGTGAATTTCAAAGATAAACTTAACGTTTCTCCTAATCACGAACTTTCAGAATTGTAGCTTGTAAGTGCTGTAAAAAAGGCCTAAATTATCCCTAAACGAATCAAAATATAATATATACTGAGAACCAAATGGTTGATTTACATCTAGGATGAACAACTTTTTATTGCTTCATCCTAGATTTACCTGTACATCCTTCAAAATCCCTGCTTTATTATATGAAACATTCTTCACCCAGGGAAATGAGACTGATTACGCGATCCATCATTTAACATGCAACAAAAATTAATGTAACTAAACAATCACTTACCATTTAGGTTTCCTGTATACAGGCATGTAAATGTATTCAGTCTATGTGACCTTCTCTAGTTTCCCCATCAATATGACTCAGTCATGTCAGTACGAGACATACAGCCTAACAAATAACATAGAAATCCTTATCGCAGTTACTTACCACATGTAAACATATAAGTTAACTTACATGTAATTTGAGGTACATATGATGTGTGTATACTTTGCTAATCACGCCCAGGTAACTCCAGGTAATAAATAAATCGACATATAAATATGTTCGCGTCGTTTCCGCATTCAGCAACAGGTCATCAATTACAAGTACGCTTTTGTCGAGGAGACATCTATTCATATCATAAGTAATCATATTTATGAAGATATAAAATATTTGAAACCTCTCCGGAATACAGTGAAATATTAGTTGATATGAGGTATACTACAATGATTATACATATTCTGTACCTCTTAGTGCAATGAGCTTACATAGATTTCATTTCATTTGTCCATTGATTGAAAACAAGAGCTACCGTGGTTTTGGATAATGAACTGATTTTTGTGAATTACCGTAAAAATCGTGCTCGATCGCCATGTCGCCAGCGTAGGCCAAGGGAAAGGTAATAGTAACCCTACTATCACACCAAACTAGTTCTCACTACCTGTACGTTCTCGAAAACGGGCTTCAACTGTGTACGAACGGACTGGACGTACTTAGAACCGTTTGCTGGGGTCTATTTACAAACTTCATCGAACGTACTCGAACGGGTAGGTCCTCTAGAACTTAGAACGTGCTCAAAATGTTCTCTTGTTCGTCCCCGCTCTACAATTAGAACGAGTGACAACCTACTAACGACGAACTGGACGCACTACGAACGGAACCGTCGTACTTCAATTCTACTAGGGACGTTTTACAACGAGTTGAACTGTCTGAGGACGTATTGAGAACGAGGTAGAACTAAATGCAAACTGGTTAGAACTGATTAAGAACGTATTTATCAACGAGTTAGCAAAAATATAACTATCACACCAAGCAAGTTGCCACTGCGTTCTTCATAACTGGTTTTAAACTGTGTGCGAACGGAATGAACGTAGCTACAACGTTCTACGGTCTGTTAACGAACTTCATGGACTTTCCTTGACGGGGAATGTGATTTAGAATTTTGAATCGAAGATTTTGGAGAGATTTGATAATACAATTTGATACCAGTAAGGAGAACTAGTGCCAAGACTAAACATTTTCGAAAATTGTTCAATCTCACTTCTGCACCTGTCTCTTCTATATTCAGCTTACCACTACTTTTCCCTTGGCCTATGGTCGCCAGTGTGACAACAAATCGTCTGAGGCACATTTTCAAGAAAACATTTTGGAAAAATTGCTATTCCTGCACATGTTTTTTCTGGTAAAAAATAAAGTATGACATGGGCTGTGTACATCTTTCTTTTGAAAGCATCTCTTGTTGCACCTTGTGTTTAGTGAATAAAAAACGAATTGTAGGCAATCAATCTTGTTGAGAAAACTTGGTTAAAAAATTAAAAGGCGGCCATTTTGAATGATTTTGAATAATCAAGAAGTCAAGGAAATGTAATACTATCATTTCAACATGAGGAAGCAGTATAACATTTGAGCCAAAAGCAACAACTCTGTTCTTTTAACTCATCATATAACTGTATATAGGCAATACTTAGCTTGTATATTCGCAAATGCAACTTTTGGCTAGCGGCTACCGGTTTGATTTCAATTTGATGGCAAACTTAAATATAAATACAGGGTGATCACTAAGTTCTGGGAATTTATCTGTCATTTCATTATTTTTCAACCAATTTACTTGAAATTTTCAAGGTAAATGGAGAATATAATTTTGGGTTGGATAAAACAGTCTCATTGTTATCTGATGTCACAATTGATAATTGTTGTTACTATAGCAACATGACAAATGGCGTAGCGGGTCAAGTAAAATAAAAATCAATTCAAATTTTGCTTGATCCAAAAGTATGGTTAATAAATACCTATTTGTTGGAAATATTTCTGTGATTTTTCATATTTTCAAATACTTCTAACTTTAGTTTCTAACGTAACATCTGTATTCTTATATAAGAGTGTATTTGCTAGAGCAATTTTCGTATCATTCATCAGCATCCCAAAGTTACAATCATGACTCATATTAGCGGGGAGTTATCTTCCATTATGACTATGCTCCTTCCCATTAGTCAAGCTGCCCATACTATTCTTGAAGAATGAGGGTTCACACAACTTATTACTGCCCCATATTCACCAGATGAAGCACCATTAGGCTTCACTACATTTTGGGTGCTAAAGCATTATATGAGAGGTCATAAGTTTGATTCCGATAAGGGACTGATTTCAATGGCTTGAGCAACTCTTCAAGGGATACCAAAGGGAGGACTGGAACACGTCTTTATGGACTAAGTTTGTCAACAACTCATGTGCGTCCAGGCTAATGGAAACAGTTATAAATGAAATGATCCTATCAGCAATGAAGAATACTTCTGAATAAATGACTTCAGTCACTGTTCTGCCTCTCGTACAAGTAGTTTGAAGCAACAATCTAGGCAAGATGAATTTGTTTTGGCAGGATGTTTTTTCAGATTAACACCAGTCAAAATTTGCTGACCCGCGGACCACTTTTACTTTTTTTGTAATTACAATAGAATAAATTTTAGATGTGATATGTATATGAAACATTGCTTGTCAATTCAGTATTATACAATGTGCACCTGCTGAAAATTTCAACTCAAATGGTTGAGAAATCTTGAAATGGCAGACCAATTCCCAGAACTTAATGATCACCCTGTAGTACCTGCGGTGTATCCCGGAAGCTGGAAGCTATCCGCGGCCACAAACCAAGTAAATGCAGAAATAGCTGCTCCAGATACTTTGCGCGAAATTACTTAGGATGATGAGATCAGGTAATGTTACTGTCGTTACGATTTCGTCGTTATCGTTTTTGGGATTTTAAAAGGCTGCGATCAGATTTTTTGGGGTCACATTTTTGGTTAAACAGCCTAATTATCTAAGTTTGGAAGTAATGTGCTTCGGAGAACTGTGGTAATACCGTTACAAATAAAGCATTGACTTAGTGCCTTGAACAAGTAAGTATTTTAAATATTAATGAGAAAACAGAATGTGGGATGAGGGCTGTCACATAGCACACCTTGCAACGAAGTCATTATGAGGGTTAGTTCTTACACTGAGAACTTAAATTATGATCTATTGGAATAAAGTACATAGATACAAAAAGCAATAACATGAAGCAACCAAGACGTTATGAATTTCACCAGATAACGTCCTTGTTGCTGAAGTGAAGAATTCTCACTCGATTATTGGAGCTGATGGACATTTGCTCGTGACTGCTTAGATTTTCAGTAACCGGATGTTACTATTAACAGATGGGTAAAATATTTGGATACAAATCAACCTCTTTCTTGGTGAAAATGATGAAAATCAACATTTTCTCCAACGGAAGTTCATCCATCTTGTTATAAAGACGCACCGTCTTTATAACCAGATGGGGACCAGTGATACTTACTTGTCTTTTTAATACTCAATATTCTGCCACGTCATATTCATAATGACATACACGCTTGAGAAAATGGGTGTAGAAGTTTAATATTCGATTCACACTGGAAATTGGGAGGTACGATTCTCGACAGGATATATGGGGTTCTAGGATCTGGAACTCAAAGTCTCGTATGAAGAAATGGAGTGGGTCAACTCTCAGTAAGTTACATTTTCAAGTAAATATATTCGACAAAGCCAATCCAGTGAAAATAAGCAAGGAATGACGTGTAAAATTTTATAATTATTTTGAAAGATAGAAATATTTTTCTATAATACAATATATCTTTATCTATTTGTTAGTAGATCGTATTATGTCTGACTTATATGTACATACTATAAAGAATTATTGTGACTCTTTTTATAGCGCTTTTGTAGTGAAGTTGATAAAACAAGTGCCGATGTATTTTTACTTCCGATCAGATTTCAAATTCAAATCTAACATATAATTATATCCGATCTACTGCATATAAAATGGCTTCTTTTTCATCTTACCCCCTTATCACACCAAACTAGTTCTTACCCGTTCTTGCAAGTCCTACGAAAACGTCGTAAAACGGGCTCAATCTGGCTGTGGTCGGGAAATATGTCTAAAATAATAAGCTACTTCGTTCATAAGCAGTCTTCAATACGTCCATCTCATTCGCAGCTCGTTCAGGTCGTACCACGGTCGGTGTGCAACGTCGTATAACGCGTTTCTTAGTCTAGAAGGTCATCATGACCTGATTACAGAACGGTATGGTCGCCATCGAATTTTGAATCGATTCAAGATTTTAAATCACATTCCCGTCCGGAGAAGTCCATGAAGTTCGTAAACAGACCGTAGAACGTTGTACCTACGTTCATTCCGTTCGCACACAATTTATTAAAACCAGTTTTGGAGAACGCAGTGGCAACTTGCTTGGTGTGATAGCTATAATTTTGCTAATTCGTTGATAAATACGTTCTTAATCAGTTTTAACCCTTTTGAAATTAGTTCTACCTCGTTCTCAATACGTCCTCAGACATTTCAACTCGTTGTAAAAACGTCCCCAGTAGGATTGAAGTATGACGGTTCCGTTCGTAGTACGTTCAGCTCGTCGTTAGTAGGTTGTCACTCGTTCTAATTGTAGAACGTGACGGCCAAGAGAACATTTTGAGCATGTTCTAAGTTCTAGAGGACCTACCCGTTCGAGTACGTTCGATGAAGTTCGTAAATATACCCCAAACGGTTCTAAGTACGTCCAGTCCGTTCGTACACAGTTGAAGCCCGTTTTCGAGAACGTAGTGAGAACTAGTTTGGTGTGATAGTAGGGTAACTCTACTATCACACCTAACTAGTTTTCACTACGTTCTCGAAAATGGGCTTAAACTGTGTACGAACGAATTTGACGTACTAAGAGCCGTTTGGGGTCTGTTTACAATCCACAACTGGTCCTTAACGCAACCACGATCATGGGACTCTAAGGTTAAGCTGGAATTACAACAGGAAAAAGCTGATCACTTTTTAACGGATGACCATATCCCATCAGTGAAATATGAAATTAAAAAGTATAGATCTGACTTAAACTCAAAACAACATATAACTTGGCACAACTCCATATGGAACGACTCCAGGAACCACGAAAACGGAAATAAGCTAAGGACATATCGGCTCCACAAGGTACACAAAACAGAGCCTGAACACTATCTTCGCATTAGCCTTAACAGATATGAACGTGCAAATCTGGCAAAACTCAGAACGGGTACACTGCCACTGAGATTGGAGACTGGTAGATACACTGGTGTCCCTGTCAATGAGCGTAAATGTATGTGTGAGCGTGACGTCGTTGAGAACGAGACACTTTCTCGTAGACTGTTCAATCCATGAAACTCTAAGGACTGACTTATTTGAAAAAGCTAGACTTCACATTATCAATTTTGACTCGCTCTCTAGTTTGGCTAAATATTGCACTCTTATTACAAATGAAAACATCACAAGAACATTGGCAAAAACTGTTAATAGCATGTTTTTAAACAGAAAAAACTATTTCATTGAATGACATTGATTTTACACTTTAAATTATTTATTATTTCATGTTTTAAAATGAATGTTTCAGTCTCTCATAAGCCGAATGCCGGCTGGGCTATGTATTTTTTAGTATTATTTATTGTATATGTATTTTAGCGTGAGACTTAAATAAATTATTAAACAACATTTACAAAGTTCATGAGCCTAACCCCCCTATCACACCAAACTAGTTCTTACCCGTTCTTGCCAGTCCTACGAAAATGTCGTAAAACGGGCTCAATCTGGCTGCGGTCGGGATATATGTCTAAAATAATTAGCTACTTCGTTCATAAATAGTCTTCAATACGTCCATCTCATTCGCAGTTCGTTCAGGTCGCACCACATCGGTGTGCAACGTAGTATAAACCGTCCCTTAGTCTAGATTGTCATCATGACCCGATTACAGAACGGTATGGTCGCCATCGAATTTTGAATCGAATCAAAATTCTAAATCACATACCCCGTCCGGGAAAGTCCATGAAGTTCGTAAACAGACCGTAGAACGTTGTAGCTACGTTCATTCAGTTCGCACACAGTTTAAAACCGATTCGGCAACGTTTTGACGATCACCAGAAAATTTTGAGCATGCTCTAGGTGCTGGAGGACCTACTCGTTCTATTAGTTTCATGAAGTTTGTAAACAGATCCCAAACGGTTCTTAGTTGGTTCTTAGTACGACGTCAAATCCGTTCGTGCACAGTTAAAGCCCGTTTTCGAGAACGTAGTGAGAACTAATTTGGTGTGATAGTAGGGTAACCGAACGGGAAGGTCCTCCAGAACTTATGCTCAAAATTTTCTAGTGGTCGTCACTTTCTGCAATCAGAACGAGAGACATCGTACTTAAGAGGAGCAGGACGTATTACGTACGGTTACACCTTATCACACCAAACTAGTTCTCAACAGTTCATACAAAAAGTCGTACAACGGGTTAAATCTGTTGTCGGCAAATATGTCTAAAATAATTAGCTACTTCGTTTATAAACAGGATTCAATACGTACATCTCATTTGCAGTTCGTTCAGGTCGCACCATGTCGGTGTACACACATACTGTAATTGATATTTGATTGCACGGCGTAGTTAACCTGTCCCTTGTAGGGTCGAAGTCAGCAATCATAGTCTAGGAGGTCATCTGATTTGAAGTGCGTTGTCACACGATCTAATTACAGAACGGCATGGTCGCCATCAATTTTGAAATAGTTCAAAATTCTAAATCTCCTTCCTGTCAGAGCACGTCCATAAAATTCGTAAATAAACCGTAGAAAGTTGCAGCTATTGAAATAGACATACGTAGCTGTATCATTCAAAACATGCTATGGAAATAATCATACGTAGCCATGTATCATTCACTGACGATCCACTCCAATAAATCAAATAACGCTCCAATGAATCAAATAACGATTTTCACAAAAGGTTCTGAATTTTAAAATTGACGAGCTGGACTAACTTTACACGATATTTTATAGTTACAAATATTTCGTAGTTTTAATGTTTTAATGTTTGTTTGTTTGTTTGTTTGTTTGTTTGTTTGTTTGTTTGTTTGTTCGTTTGTTTGCATTTATATTTTATTTATCCATATTTCATACTTCAAACAACATAAGAAAAGTGTATAATGCTTTTCCAAGGGATGTGGCGCTGTGTTGTGGACTAAAGGAAAGCTATGTAAAAGGGGACTGTGCATTTCCATTGTTACGGTTTAGCCTTGGGGATGCGTTGCAACAAGCTACAAAGAAAACGCCTGATGACGTTGCAGTTATATATGCAGACGGTGATATTCATGTTACATTCAGTGAGCTGACAAATCAAGTAATGTATCTTATTTACTTAAACCAACAGGTTTGATGGTTCCTATTCAATGTACTTGTCATAATTGCATGTCTAAATGAAATGTATCATAATTTTATTCCAATACCTTTTTAGGCCTATCAATTGTTCAATATTATGAACTTCTTGGGATAAACAAAAATCATAATGTTAAGAGATCTAAAGCTAATTATGAAGTCACGAATAACGTCTGCTTGGGCTGACTTTTATTATCTCCTTGATTAATATCTCTTAAATCTACCGTGGCCTTTGATATTTTCACTAATTACAACTTCGTTGTGATATATGTAAGTCTTACGTATTTTTTAGAATCCTCTTCAATAACTGATATATTTTATGCAAGCCTTGCGTATATTTTAGAATTCTCTTCAATAACTGATATATTTTATGTAAGCCTTACGTATTTTCTCGAATCCTCTCCAATAACTGATATATTTTATGTAAGTCTTACGTGTTTTCTAGAGTCCTCTTTAATAACTGATATTCAATTACACATATTGATGGTACCAACTCTAGGAAATCTCCCTGCCCTCTCTGAATTAACTACAAATTTTCATGCTTCGTAGGTGAAATTATTGGCAAGTGGTTTGCTTGCGCAAGGTGTTACCAAAGGCGATGTTATCCTTGTTAATTGTGGCCATGGTTCATCATTCGCTACTCTCTTTTACGCCATCGTTAGCATCGGTGCAGTATTTGTCATGGTAAGAATCAAAGAGGTTGTGGTTGTTTTAAGATAATGCTGGCTTCCAACTTAAAAATAATAGATTTTCAAATGTACACCTGAAATAAGTATCCTACTATATAGAATATAGATAGATAAATAGATGACATATCTTTGTAGGGCAATGGTACCATGATTACTAAATTAATATGAAAAGAACACATAAAATGCTTTAACTTTACAGTGCAATGGAATGACCTTTTTCAGCCTTACGTTTACGAACCAAAGCATCACTGTCTGAAAAAGATCATAAATAATGCATAAATGAGCTAAACACGTCAATAACTGAAGCACTGAAGAAGATCACGCCAAATGTTCTTGTAAAAAGTGGATGTTTAAACAAATTTGATAATGAACCTGAACTTCCTTCACTACGTGCAGTAGCTGTATATGGTGATAATGGAGACATAGGATTGCTAGATGTTTTTGCAGAGACCAGTGCAACTGATGAGCAATTGTCAGTAGTCCAAAGTATGGTACAACCCGAGGATCCTTGTATTATATTTATGTCTACTGTAAGTGAATCTGATTGATCTTGGACTTTGTTCAATACGTTTATTGTGTCATAAGGGTCACCTAGAGTCCCTGAAATAATATACTTTCGAAATCAAATACGTATATTAAGTCGCTTCTTGACTTCAAATACCACTACGTTTTGAATTCACAGGGAACAACTGGAGAACCAAAAGCATCATTGCATCGACACAGTAGCCTGGTGAACACAGCATACTTTGGCCATCTTCGTAGAAATCCTCAAGGAAGAGTATGTAGACTTTATATGTAGCAACTACTCTGGCTTCTACCTTCGTGTTTTTCAGGTATCCATTATGTATTGCAAACCTATGGACTTATTCCACTTCAAATTGAACGTTTTTGTTGAAGAAACAATCATGAGAGTAATACGAGTTTTGAGCAGGCTCATGATTTGGAAAACGGCTCAAAATATTTTTATCTAAACCTGTACCATTTAAATGAATAAACGCAAGGAGCACACGCGTCTCGAACTCGCAACCTCGTGGCTACGGCCCCAATCGCCTAGCCTAAACGTGCTGGCGCTCAAGCCCTCTCGTTCATTCAAATCATTCTAAGCACGTTCTTGATATCGATGTATCTTTGATTGTAAGGTTGTACTGGGTGTAGAGAATCCACTCCATGATGACTTGCTCTGTGTTCGGAGCATAGTCTCTACAGCAGTTAATAGTAATGTTACATGTGTTGTTACTCCTGTCAACAAGCAATGCGAAGGAGCTAGTGACGTAATTGTTGACGCCATGGAGAAGTATAGGGTAACACATGCCGACCTTTGGCCTTACATGTGGAAGGATATGATTCTTTATGGTACAATAGAAGGGCATGACCTGACGAGTTTAAAAGGGGGTAATTGTAACAGCTTTAACACGAGGAACATTATTTTATACAGCTACTAGTGTCGTTTTTAGAATTTATATTGTTGGAGTGGTCGAGGCAATTTGTTAGGGATAAGATTAAGATATCAGGAATAAAAAATATAAATGAATAAAATAAATCGAGACTGGTAGGACCTAGTATAGTTTTACAACCCTGTATTTCTCGCCATTTTGAATAAATAACAAACACCAAATGCTTTTGGGAAGGCGTAAGCGAAAATACTCAGGTTCAAAGATAGTTTGGATTTCTTCTGTACTTCAGGATTGACAGGTTCGCAAGCATTAGGTGCTGAATCGGTGAAAGCATTTACAACCCTTGTACCAGAATTAATGGTAATAATCCTAGATTTTAAAATTGAAATCGGCATGATCACTTACACCGTTCGAGTCTAGTTCAGTTATCTCAATTCGCAAGACCTGATTAAGTAATAAACCAGCATTCAGAGTGGTTGATGATCTGTTAATTCGTTTTGTAATTCTTCAGAATGTATATGGGTCAACAGAATCTAACACTATCACTGCAAACTTTAAAGACGATCCTATAATGGACAGGAGGCTGGAATCTATTGGATTTCCGTCGGCACATGTAGAGGTACTTAAGTTAAAACGCACTCTTTTGTTTTGTCGCCAGTACGTTGTTTTGTATTTTAGTGAAACATGTGTACAACCAGCATCGTTTTAATTTTTTGTTTATTTGAACGTTTATTTGAATATGTCTATATAATTGGCCATGTCTCCTTGGAATAAATCATGCAATGTATATTTCAGCTATTCTGTATTCGAGAGAATCCCCGTACTATTATGTTGACAATTTGTGCTTCCTAGATAAAGCTTTTAGATGACCAGCATAATGTGGTTCCCATTGGTGAGCCCGGGGAGGTGTATACGCGGACACCCTGTATGTTTATTGAGTACATGGGTGAACCTGAGAGAACAAGATCGGTAAAGGATGAAAACGGTTGGTACAGAACTGGGTAAGTTGTTCGATTGATATCACATATGATAATCGGAACACGTTACGTAACATCATAGCTACAAATTACCGAATCATGCAATAGAAGATACATGTATATTTGGGCTTTAGTTTAAACATTTGTCGTATTTAAATCGATTTCAAAACAGAGCTAGTTAACTAAAGTTAACTAATTTGTTCATTTCATTGCATTAGAGATGTTGCGAGAATGGATCAAAATGGTTTCCTTTATTTCATTGGCCGAAAAGCTGATAACATAAGATTCAAGAGGTTTGCCGATATTATCTACCCAGGCGTGATTGAGTCCGCAGCTCTAAAGCACAACAAAATAGCAGAGGCACAGGTGCGACATGGTAAAAAGGGTCGTGAAAAAAATATGTGTTGTTACGAGAAATTAAAATTTCCTACAGCAATTACGCAGGTTAGGATCAAACAGTACTTTCCGGTAAAATCCGCACGATCTGGTAGAAATCGCACCATTGGGTAAAAATCATATACAGGTAAGGATTAAACAGTACAAAATCCGCACGATCTGGTAGAAATCGCACCATCGGGTAAAAATCATATACAGGTAAGGATAAAACAGTACAAAATCCGCACGATCTGGTAGAAATCGCACTATCGGGTAAAAATCATATACAGGTAGGTCATAAAACTGCAGCAAAATCACAATTTACAATATTCTATCTGTGCATGATCTTTTAAGTCGAAACACATATTTACCTTGCCTTTTTCACCCATGGCTGACGTCAGCTTATCTTAAGTTTCTTCAAAAACTGCAACACAATTAAGATATCAAGGGGGCAATTTGCAATTGTGTGCGGTCTAACGAACAACCTAGGCATATGTAAGTATCTTAAGAACATAGATGTTGAAAATTTGGCCTGAAATTAAAAAATAAGGCCTTAAAAGGCCCAGTAATGACCAAAAAGGCCCACTTTTAGGGCCTCAATGCCTTTTTTGGCCCAAACATTTTTTAGGGTCCAATTTTTTTTCTGGCCCCCCCCCCCCCTCCCCTCTAGATCCGCCAGTGCATTCCGCTAATTGAATATATACTATCAAGAATAAGCTAGATTGATGAACTTACGAGAACGAGGCTTCGTGCATAATTTGCCAAAATCTCACGATTTTTTGCAAGATCGTTCGGATTTTGCCGGAGAGTGCTGTTTGATGCCCGACTGTGAATAAGCAATGTCTGGCGTTGGTTAATTCCACGTGGAAATCATGATTCTGTATTAAGTTGTTAGATAAAAGCGACATAGTACAGGGTCTTCCTTCAGTAATATCACAATCTCCCATTTGAAACTAATCTTTCTTGTTGCAAATATTCATTTTACTAAATTATGAAATTTTCAGTACCAAAGTGTTTTTAGCAAAACGTTTGCTGAAATCATTTTTTGATATTTTATTGTAATTTTCATACAATTTGATACTTAAGTTAAGAAATTTTGCATTAACATTATTACCCTACTAAAAAGAATAAAATTTACACTGATCACGCAAACAGGTATTGTGTTATATGCATAATAATTTCAGATCACAATTTTGTTTTCTTTTTATAATATACCTTTAGAACATAGTGACACCCTTAAACTAGTTGAGGCTAGGGGAACAATCGAGCATTTCTCCTTTTTGAATTCCAATGCATTGAAAAAATGACATGAGATTTAGCATAGATTCAGTTCATCTAACAGCAATTTTTAGAAAGTGCCACCTAAGATATATTATATAAATTTTCCCCCACCAGTGCCGAACTGACATAGTTTTAGAATCTGAAAATGCATAACCTCTCTAGATGAAACAAATACAAAAACAAAGCATACATACATATACATATATACTCCTTCGCCACCATTAGTTAAAGTATACCATCATTCCGCAGGAACTGGTGTCTCAAGTTAATTCATACTATTTTCTAATTTAAGTGTGTGGGTATTAAGAACGTAAACGATTGTGTAGGAGATGACATCTTTCTCTGTATTATGTAAGTCATTAACAATACAACTTTGTTGTTTGCACCTATAAACTATACATCAGATAAATTAGTGACTGAACTATACTCAGTAAAGTTTTGGTGCATAAAGATTTTGCCTTCAATTAACAAATGTTTCAATTTTTTACCACCCTGTATATATACAATACGCTTACAAATAAAAAATGATCATAAATAAAAAAAGAGTATATTTAATTTAGTGTATTTTCATGTTTTAGAGTTCTACCTGTTCGAGTTATTAACCGGTCATTATTGGGGCTGTTTTGTATTTTGATTTGATTTGATCATATCTGCCGCATTGTTGAAGGTGTTGCTTTCCAAAATTTGCACGAGATGCTTTGCATCGAGTGTTAGTTTTAGGAAGCAACCCCTGCACTGAAACTTGGGCTTAGATTATTTTCACACATTATAACATATTTTCTAAGATGTCACTTAAAATATATAAAATCAACAAAAGAACATATTTTCAATGACATTTTTTGCAAGGGTCAAATTGGCAAAGCATCAGTTCCAATCATCGAGTTTAGTTCTCGCCATGACGACAACCATACAACGAATGCGTTTTTGTTATGTCATGCACTGCTGTTATGTGAAATACCGTGTTCGTATTGGCTAGATTGCGACACACCTTGAAACACCTTACCTAGCTATGTGTGAATTTACCCTGTGTGAATCACCCTTTTCAATCACACTTACAGTCTCAAACCAGGTGAGAATATGAAAGACGATGAATTAAAAGAGCATTGTCGCGTGGAACTAATAGAGCGAGACCAGCCAGACCACATCTTCATCATGGATGCTTTCCCGCGTATTGGAGTTAGGAAGAAGGTCAATGTTATTTATATAGATCTCGAATGTAATTCACTTTCATGTGTAAAGTATTATTAAATTTTCCTCACAATTTGTATCTAGGTATTGCTCATGTACCCATGCACTATTTCTAGTATTATTTTAATTTTTACATTTTCTTTCCAGGTATCTAAGCCTAAATTGAGGGAGATATGTCAGAAGTTGATTTTGGAACAAATTGATAGTAAATAGAGATTCACAAAACGTCCATTAATGTTACAAGAAAATCTGTTACTGAACAGAATATAGCTATAATACCATGATGTCCTGGATATCCTCGCGGTAATAATGTAAAGCCAATATATTAGATCTATGGTTACATTATATTGTATTGAACTTGATAGCAATAAAAGGCTAGGGTGAATCTAGAATGAAGAAAAGCCTCTTCGAATTTTAAAAAGTACAACAAATGTACACTCCCCTCCATAAGTTTGGCAACCTTAGCTCCCCCATTGAACTACGTGTTAAAGCCTCTTTACGTTTGAATTTTTATGCACTTAACCTGCGATGAAATAACTTATAATATTGTTGGAAACATAACTTGACTTTATTTCCAATACCTCCAAATTTTCTCAATTTTTTTCCTCAATTACAATAGGTCGAAAACTGATGATAAAATTGATGAATTTTTGAAAATCGTCATTCCCATGTAAACCAACGGGAAATGGTGGGTTCGGGGAAAATCAGAAATAAGGATATCTATTCAGTAAAAGAATCAGCAAAAATATTTTTATATAGAAAATTGAATTGTCTAACTTTTTGTACACTAAGTGTTTAGCTTACTTGATGAATACTAAAGTTACAGAGCTTCAAAGTCATCTTTGAAAATCATTTTTCGCCTCTTGTGTTATTTCAATGGGAGGGTTTTTTTGAAAAATAATTTTGACTTTAAAGACTTATAACTTTGCTGATCCTGAAGAAAGGTATCAATGTTTTGTTAAATAAAGTTAGCAAATTCAATTGCCTACCTAACTTGTATTTTTGCAAGGACTCGGAGTGATGGACATTCTGTCATATGACTTGCGGCAAACCCACCATTTCCATTGGTTAACATGGGAATGTCGATTTTCAAAAATATATCAAATTTATCATCAATTTTCGACCTATTGTAATTGAGGAAAAAAATTGAGAAAATTTGGAGGTATTGGAAATAAAGTCAAATTACGTTTCAATCAATAGAATAAGTATTTCTATCGCAGGTTAAGTAAATAAAAATTCAAACGTAGAGAGGCTTTAACACGTAGTTCAATGGGGGAGCTAAGGTTGCAAAACTTATGGAGGAGAGTGTAAGTGTATACAGGCTAAAAAATATATGTTAAACTTCTGTTTGAAGATCACCTAGGAGAAAGATAAAGTCAATAGCTAAAAATAACATTCGATAAAATTACACTAAAAGTCTCAAGACTTAAAATGACATCGTGAGAAGGCATGGTTCTCTTTTAGTTATTTTCTAGTTAGAAAACAGAAACCCCGGGACAGAAAGATTAGATGACTTTCACAATGTGAAAATGTCAGCCCTCATATGAACTAATAATGCTGTGACTCGATTTCCAAAATTTTGTTTGAAGATTCTGTCTTATTCTATTCTGTCTTATTCTTATTCTATTATCTTATTCTGATTTTGTTTAAAACAAACATTCTTAAAATGTTGATCTGTTTACTTTTGCAAGTGTACAATAAATATATATTAAGCGTATATTTGACTAAATTCAGGATTTTGAAATTGTCCATTTACAACTTGTTGTTTATTATTGAAAATTAATACTTTGGAACTAATAAAAGCCAACGTTTATGCTCTTTTAAAATAACAGAGCGTACTATTAACCAAAAAATAATATTTAAAGCTGGACATAAATCTAGGATAGAAAATTATTTTGTTGATTTTTCTGTCAAATGAAGTGGCTACAGATGTCATTCAGGCATCATATTAGGTTAATACCATATCGCATGATCATTGGCCATTGACCATTGGAAATTTTGTCTGTTTGATTTGTGCTACACCTCACATTGACAGAGTGACTAATTATAAAGCAAAAAAATGAGATTATTGACAATTTTATCAATGATCTTGAGCATTTTGCAGAAAGATTCTGACATTTGATTTAAAGACGATCAAAAGAATTACCAAATAAGCATAGTTCCGGTTGTGCTAGATTATTCCCCTCAGACATAGGTATGATAACTGGAAGTCGCCAGAACAACAAAGGTTGTCTCTGTATGAATAATTAATCTTAACGTTTTTCTTTAATAAGAATAGACAAAAAGGCCACACAGGTTATTACAAACATTAAATTAGATAAGATTCAACAATTTACTGTGTTCATATATATGAACCTTCCTCCTTGATCGTATCTATAACAATGGCGGGATCTGTCTTGTAGAGTAAAATGATTTCATCAGAATATCATAGTAATTCTAATTGGCCATTTAATTCAATTCATAATATCAATTTTTCTGTGAAAAGTTACGAATTCATAATAACGCAATGTATCTTTTAGAATCAATATATTATAGTGAAGCAGAGGGGGGAGTACCCTTTGCATTTGTTTGACTTCACTTCTTAAAAGAGAGCTTCGTCTGTAGTTTAACTAGACTCTGCACGCAGGGTAGAGGGGGAGTTGTTTGTCGAATAAATTGAGGACGATTTATCAATCATTTCGCTTATGTTTTTCATCCTAAAAACATCAATACAAATTAAAACATTTTGTTGACTATAAGATTGCACAATATAATCAAAAAAATATATTTGTCATTTTCAAGGATTATCTATGGATTAACACCCAGGTATTTCAATTTTTCAAACTTCAAAGGGCTGGGAATCAGCCCATTTCTCTTTGAGAGGAGCACAGCTCTTTGAGATTTTTTTTAAATCAAACGATACAGTTTCCAAATAGATTTTGAGATAACAGGAAAGTTAATCTTTAATACACACCTTATTTGGATGTTTTGGTTAATATCGCAACCCAAAAAGTTGTGTATTAAAGATTTACACTTTCCTGTGATCTCAAAGTCTGCTTGGAACTGTACCAAGTATTTCATACTATCCTTAAATATGTAATCAAATTTTGATAATACTGAACATTAAAAAGGTTATTAAGGAGACAGTGACCCTTGAACAATTCTGTCCAGGCTACTATGTATATCATTAGTATGTAATGTCATTAGTAAACAGTGTCATTATAGTGTGATATCATTAGTAAATGCGATGTCATCAGTATGTGTTGTCATAAGTATGTGATATGCAAGAAGATTAGCGTCTCATGAAAACTCGCTAATTTTGTTACCAAAACGAACCGTTTTGGTAACAAAATGTCGGAACGTCGAAGGTACGATTTTTCTTTTTTCCTTATTCCACGCGTTGTTGGCAGACTCCCCACGACGTTTTTTTCTCACAAACGTATATCCGTATCATAGTACTATGTTATAGAAAGTGTACATGTTTCAGAATCGTCGATTTAATTCGTCACTTAAGTTACATAAACGGTTTGGGTTAAAAGTGCAGATCTGAACCGTTTTTCGAAAAGCCGTTTATGTAACTTGAGTGAGTAATTAAATCGATGATTCTGTTTTTCTTGAACAAATGATACTGATACACATTTGTGTAAAAAAATGTCGTAGGAATTCTGCCTACAACGTGTGAAATAAGGAAAAAAGAAAAATCGTTCCTTCGATGTTCCGACATTTTGTTACCAAAACGAACCGTTTTGGTTGGTAACCGGCGAAATCGAGTGGATCACCAGTGTCTTAGGGAGACCAAATATTGCGAGAACGTTAACATTATGCAAACAATAACGACAGGGTGGCGTATTTATTACCAAAATATGCCTTACCTTTAGGATGATTCAGTTTATTGAATACTTGAATTGAATTGACAAGTTTTTTAGGCTGAAACCAAGTGAAATTACCTGGTCTTAACTGAAGGGCTGAATTTAAGCACAAATAAAGTCCTTTGAAGAAGAGTGACTCTATGTGCAAGATAACACTTTTCTTCATTCTATGAATAAATAACTGTATTGGAGTGTTTTCACAATCTCATTATGATAGATTTTATTTAAGTTGGAAAATATTATTGGATTTATGTATTCAGAAATATTTTTATCGTAAAAATTTAAAGTTGACACTCATCTTATTTTATTTAAGATTAACTTTTCAAAAATTGACACTTATCTTATTTTAAATGTTATTGAAAAATGTCGAAACATGCGAAGGCTCTTTACAATCAAAAACATGATTTATTAAGTGATACTATTGTGTAAAAACCTCTGGATACGTAACACACCTGTCTTGATTCATAAGGTGCCAGTTGCTCCAACTTCTTGTTTTATAACACCTAGAAGTCTAAGATGTAAACATACCAGACTTCACCAACTCTACCAAACATCAAAATCGGATTTCATATTAAACAAAAAAGTATAACAAAGGTTTCACACTCTTGGTGTTAAAAAAACTTAGAACAAAGGGGTTACAACAATTAGTGTGTGCCAAAACCCCAGAAAATCACAAAAACCTATGTTGTGGTAGCTTACTATGAAGTGACCCATTATCATTATAGATTGGTCCATCAACTATTCATTTTTACTTGTCTGCACTCAAAAAGGTGACACGAAAGGGCTAAACGGCTTGCACCAAGGTGCAACCATCAAAAAGATGAGTTTGATAAAAAATTATTTTTTTCAAGTAATATCAATGGGTATACAATATAGGAGGCAAATTTGGTATTGATAAGTATGATAGTCCATTTGCGTGTGGCCATTTTTATAAAAACAATAATTGTGAAGAATTATATATTTCTGACCTGAAAATGCCATATTTATTCAAAAGTCATGGTTGTTAATGATAATATTCCTATTTCACCTATTCAATGTTTTCAAAATATTTTAATTACCATTATATTCATTTTTGGCAAAGTAAATAAATATAGGGCTCACACAAGGATCAACTTTATTTGCAATATTTTCATATTTAGTGATGTTTTGAAAAAATATAAGGTTAAACACAATTTTATTTGTTAAATGTTTAACAAAATAAACAGAGTGTGTTTATTTCATTGTTTTGACTGAAAAATCGCAATTCATTGCTCTTCCTCTTAGAACGGCAGGGGATATACAAGTACATAAACAGTCTTAAAAAACGTTGATCCTTGTGTAAGCCCTACACTTATTTACTTTGCCAGAAACTGATATAATGGTTATTCGGTGGTATGAAAATCATTTCAGAGGTAAAATAGGAAGAATGTCTTTGAACTTGGAATAAAAAGCATTATATGGTTAGAAATACCCAATTTTTACCATAATTGTTTTTAATAATATAACCATACCCTCATGGACTATCTTTACATTTCAATAACCAATGTGCATTATATTTTGCATGTTTTACTGCAATTATTTGTAAAAATATTTTTAAATCTTACATTTTTGACTGGAAAGTGAAGAGACAATACTCAAATATACTCATATTATTGGTCACATTTGGTTATTTCACCCAAACAGATTCGGGATTTTTTAGTCCAGGCATATGAAGAAACTAGTGTGAATTAAATGGTCATATTATACAATACAATACAATACAATACAATACAATACAATACAATACAATACTGATCCAATTCAGAATTACTAGAGAAAGTAACTCTCGTGGGTGTTGATTACTGATTGCAGTCATTAAACTAAAGACCTCATATTTGGATGTCCTCTCTTCTGATACGATTTTACAATTCACTTCAAATTGGCAAAGGACCAGGTATAGTATGGCAATTGATATCTGATCGTCATATATTTTACCATGACTACTTTCTCAATATAAATATGACATTTCTCAAAAACACAATATGTTATCTTTCAAGAAAATTCAACAAAGTGACAAGGTGGAGATCTTATCAATAATATTTCAGATATATTTTCAAATATTTATATTTTCAATTTCAATTTATTGATACATTCAAGCATTATGTTTACGAATGTTATTAATAACAGGTGGCACCACATTTGATGCTTATACCCGTACATATAGTAGTACAATCATGTAGTGTATCATTAAGTTGTCAAGGAATCAAACCAGAATGAAATCATAAAAAATAAGTTGAAAAATAAAGGTTGAGGGGGATTCATGATGTTTTTTTCTTTTCAAGTGAAGAAGTTGGATGATATCATTTTTATCACAGGGACTTTACATAAGAAAAATCATATTGTTTTCACAAAAACACGTTCAGCCCCAAAACGCCAAATACTAATTAGATATTGAGCTATGACCTTGAAATGATCTTGATCCATAAACATTGACTTATAGATCTCTGGTTATTTTATCATTGGTCATTAAATAGACTGTAGCCCCACATTTGCCAACTACTTAGATATTGACCTTGAAATGACCTTGACACCAGGTCACCTAATCATTGGTCGCCAAAGGTCACAATTGTTCTCAATTGCCTTTAAACTCCAAATTGCGAGATATTGACCTTGGAAGTCACCCTATCATGAGCCGCTAGGGGGCACAGCAGATACCAGGGCCTTAATACACCAAATACTTAGATACTGATATTTGACCTTGAAATAACCTTGACCTCAGGTCACACATTCATGATTCACAAAGGGTAACCTCAGCCCAAAAACGCCAAATATTTAGATATTGATGACCTCTAAATGATCTTGACCTATAGACCTTGACCCTGACAACAGGTCACCTAATAATCGGTTGTCAAGGGTCAGAATTGTTCTCAATTGCCTTAAAACACCAAATTGCTAGATATTGACCTTGAAATTACCTACACCCATTCAGTTGATCTTTACCTCAGGTCACATAATCATCGGTTGTGAAGGGTCACACCATCGGCAAAATGTCTTAAAATGCCAACTATCCTAGATATTGATATTTTAAACTTGAAATTACCCAGACTTTTGACCTATGTTGAATACACATTTTATGAACAAAACATAGTACGAAGTTGAAAACTGATCTTTTTGAAATGAAATTGCTGCTGATGTTTCAAAACTAAGGTATCTTTATTGCAAAAGTACTATTCAAATTGAATAAGTAAATGTTGCAATGAATGCTCACACATATCTTGTTGTATATCAATCTAGTGCAACTGCTACAGGTATCACTCTGACACGTATCTGTGAACAAATCAAACTTCTTTGATGTTGATGTAATGCAAATTGGTATCTTTTAATATGACGTCCGTAAGATAAACCATCAATACTAGGATTGTCAAAACTTGCATTGATAAAATAAATTCCCGTCTCATCACTGTCACACCCATTACTACAAGATGATGCCTCTTAGATCACTGTCTCCAAGCTATAAACTAAGTGATGCACTATATGCTCGTAATACTTTTTTATTCAAAATCAAAAGTCAATGATACTTTTCCTATTTTACCAGTATTAAATGATTTTTATATATCCGAATAACCATTATATACGTTTTTGACAAAGTAAATAATTGTAGGGCTCACACAAGGATCAACTTTTTGAAGACTTTTTCGTACTGGTGTAGACTCTCCTGCTTGCGAAGCAAGGGCGATGAATTGAGATTTTTCAGTCGAAACAAGAAAACAAACATATAATTGTTTTTTCTTCAACAAATAAAAAATAAAATTGAGTTTACCTTCGTATTTTTTCAAAACATCACTTTATATGAAAATGCTATGAACAAAGTTGATCCTTGTGTGAGCCCTATAATTATTTACTTTGTCAAAAACTAATGAAATGGTTATTGGTATATTTAAAAAACACTGACTATATAAAATAGGAATAATATCCTTGACAACAGTAACTTTTTAATTGAAATCGCATTTTAAGGTCATAAATATCCAATTTTTTACCATAATTGTTTTTCATAAAATCACCACACCCGAATAGACTATCATTACACATCAATATCAAATTTGCATCTTATTTTGTATACTTACAAGTATTATTTTAAAATATGTATATTTTTCAAACTCATCTTTTTGACGGTCGCACCTTGGTGCAAGCCGTTTAGCCCTTTCGTGTCACTATTTTGACTGCAGACAAGTAAAAATGAATAGATAATAGATCAATCTAAAATGACTATTGGTCAATTCATAGTAAGCTACCACAACATAGGTTTAGCCTAACTAAGCCACTTAGAAAGCAATTTGGAACACACTAAATTAACAGAACTGTATTTTAGATTATCAACTTTGAAGTATTGTGTAGAAATAAAATATAATAAGAAATAAAATATTTTCTTTAAGCACCAGCTCCTTTGGTAGGTGTTGATAAAAATATGACAGTTTTGGATAAAATCAAGGGAACAATTTCTCAAAATATCTTTCTGTAAAGGTAAAATTATCTTCTTTTTACATGTTCAACATTCATTTCGTTTAAAACAACCATTCTTCACCCCCTTCCCCTTTAATTGGGCTTTGTAATTCAATGTTCTGTACATGTGTTTTATTGATCTGTTTAAAAGGAGATTTATCTCTGTTTATAGATAATATGATTTAAAACGAATATACAGGGTGTCTCATATGTATTGACCCCACTCCCAAATAAAATCATACATGTAGCATTGCTACCCTATCATGTTATACACCGTTGTTCGTGAATATGGAATTGGAATATCTACCTTGTTTTCAGTGTAATTTCAAATTTTAGTGAGATGAGATTTTTCAAATATGTATGCATAAACCGGTCAATATATAACGATGCATTCAGGTCGTTGTTTCATATCAACAGCTGAAACTGCTGTTACTGGTCCAACGCGTATGCTGACGTCACTCTAAGCCTTTGACAAAAAATACCAAAGATTAACATCAAAGCAGGGTATTATCAATCGCGAACTGGAAGCTCAGAAAGAAGATACACAACTGTGGAAGGATCGTTTATAGTAAAAATCACTGCTTTTATCATTCAACGGGTAAGGACAATAAAGTAAGAAGGATTGTTCAATTAGCAAAAATGCTTGACGTAATTAAAATAAGAATCCAATGTTAACGTTTCACCGGGATCAGAAAAAAGATGAAGGAAAAGAAAAAACCTCCACAACACTTCATCTGAGATTGAAACAGAAGGGTTTAAAAAACTAACGAAACGAACTAAATTGCCGATTTGGTAATCATTCTTGAAGAAAAGCTGCTTTGTAGTGGTGTTCTAATTTTTTAGCATTTTGGTATATTTTTAAAAAGACGAACACTTTTTATTGGTATCAACAAGCGCATCCTTTTGCTATAAGGACCGACTTTCTTTAATAATTATAATTACAAAATTGTACTTCGAAGATTACAACATGAAACTACTCATGGTAGTGCTGGTTTTGGTCCTCATTGGTTATTGCACGTGTGGCCGCTGGAGATTTAGAGGCAACAGAAAACACAAGAGCCACAAAAGCAAAAGCCACAAAAGCATTAAGAGCCACGGGAGTAGTAGTAAAGAGGGTAAGACATGTTTTTCATACATGGAAATGAAACTTGTAAATCAAGAAAATAAATACAGTAATCACAATATATCATTGCGATAAACGAGGCAAATGTGTCTTGAGCGTACTAAAGATGTACGCCCCTGTAACAATATATGGTTTCATCGTAGGCCTGGTGGAGTGTGAACCACTGGATGCTCCGGTAAACGGCTCCTTACAATTGATAAATGGTGAGACTCATGTCGGCACTGTCGCTATCTATTCCTGCGACGAAGGGTCTGTTTTAAGTGGCAATATTACAAGATTATGTCAAAAAGTGTACGGACCTGCATCCAGTTCGAGTGACAGTAGTCACAGCCACAGTCACCGCCGCGTTATCGGAGCAGAATGGAGCGGTGATGAACCAACCTGTGAACGTAAGTTTAAAAGAATGTAATAAATATAGTTGTGTAACAAATAAATACAGTTATCCCAGTAAAACATAGCGATAACCAATTGTGTCTTGAACATTCCAAAAGAGGTAAATAACAGTATATGCTTTCATCGTAGCCTTATTGGATTGTGAACCATTGGATGCACCGGTAAATGGTTCATTGCAATTGATAAATGATGAAAGTTGTGCTGTCGCTGTTTATTCCTGTGATGAAGGCTTTGTGTTAAATGGAAATTCCACTAGAGTATGCTTGAGTAGCGTCAACGAAGCGGAATGGAGTGGTAATGAAGCAATCTGTGAACGTAAGTAATTAAACTGTTATTAAAATAATTGTGTAACAGTAATTACAATATATCATAATAGTCCATGGTAGGAAATCTCTAGGACGTCTAATAAAGGAGCTGTTAGCACACTATAGTGCAGCAAAATTTGACCTAATATTAACATACCTATACATATGCTCCCTAATAATTTTTGTTATGACCGTTTAACATACTTCTGGCTTTTAGGCTGAATTATGCCTGTCATTAGCAGAGGACAAAAAATTACCCAAAACTAAAATCCCCCTTTCTCATTATTTGGAGAACACAATGCGACAGAAAATAATACAAATAGTTTTAAAGTGCCCGATAAACTATAAAATGCGCATGCGTCCAGGTGTTGATAAACTATAAATAGCGAAAATCCAGGGTTTGTCACCACAAGGTAAGCCAGGACGTGTTGAGAGAACAGCTAGTGTTGATATTGAATTTATATGTAGCCAGATAAGTTTCCTTCTTGAAATTACATATGGTTATTAGCAATACTCTGTAGGTGCTAAATAATAAAATATTTAGAGTATATATGAGAGAAGTTGGTCATTTCGAACCTGTTGAAAAGTTTGTGGCTCTCGGCTACACCGGGGAATTTACTTCCATGAGTACACACATAAATGTGGGGTTCCCCAAGAGGTACGCGACAAGGTGACCTGGCATCAAATGTGCGACTAAATGCTACTATCGAGAAGATAAAATAACGAATACGACAATAAGTTATTGCATGTGACAATTCCGAGCCTTCATCTCACTGAAGTATTTTGAAGTGAAAATAGGATTTTTGTTTTGATACATGGATTCAGATGAACGTAACTTTATTCTGACAACTAATCAAAACTGAACAAAATTGATTGTACGTAACAGACAATTTATTGTTTTACAATGTTTTGATTGGCTAAACGAATGAAACCAACAAATTATGACATGTAAAATGACAATTTTGAAATGTAAAATTTAAAAGTGACAAACACAACCTCCCTATCCACTCTTTGGGACCCCTTGTAAATTAGTAATATGTACATGTAGCAGTGGTAGTGTACAGCTTATTATCACACTACGCTTTGTATTCTAAAGCCTGTTGTTTGTAATAACACTGTTCACTCAACGTATGTTTTGTGTGTGGGCAGTCAACGATAATCATTGTTTTATCCCGGTTATATGACCTCGGCAATTATAACAAAACCGCACTAAACGAAAAAACGCAAATAAGAGAAAGCTTTCACACACATATAAAAAATGAACTAGTCTAATCCGCCAGTATAAACTCTGTGCTATACGTAGCCGGATCAGGCGCACACTTTAAACATAATTATGACTTAGGTTTCTAAGCTATAAGTTTGAGGTTGTTTTTCTCACTAACACAAAAAAATATGTAATCAGTGTATTGACGTTTTGTATTGTTTCTCAGATATTATGAGATAATTGTACAAATGAATCACTTTTATATTAGAATGACAAATGCTTAAATTATGCTAGCTAGTTTTTCACAACATGTGTCCCAGTACTTTTTGAGATATGGACTGTTATTCCGCGGTGAACATTATCATTAAAGGAGGAGGGCCTATTGCTCTTCCTTGACTAATTGCGAGTGCAGCTGAAATTCTATTTCTTGTGCTTAGATATTGCTCAGTTGCTTATAAAACAACAGTCAAGATTTGGTCGAATTCATGAATCAAGCACACTTGTTTAATTACGCTAATTAAACACCAACATTTACGGTAAAATTATAAAAAAAAATACATTATGATAATCCATTTTTGTACGTATTTTTAGAATAACCGTCTGTGTCTTATAAAATTTATAAAAGTTTGAATCAAAATATTTTCATTTTTGATCCTTTGTGATGAAATACATTTTTCGACCCGAAAGACGGACGTTTTTTTCAGCAAATGATCTCCTTAAACATTGCTTCAAATGTTGCTGCGCTATAGTGTGCTACGGATCCTTCATATTCGGTAGTCATATCATGGACTATAACGATAAACAAGGCCAATTGTTCTTGAGCTTTCTAGGGATAACCACAGCTAATGCATCTTGAGCTTTCTAAAGAGCTGAATTAAAGTTAATATTTTCATCGTAGGCATATTAGAGTGTGAACCATTGGATGCTCCTGGAAATGGTTCCTTGCAATTGATAAACGGTGAAACTTCCAATGGCGCTGTCGCTGTTTATTCCTGTGATGAAGGCTTTGTATTAAATGGAAACTCTACAAGAGAATGTTTGAGTAGTGTAACCGAAGCTGAGTGGAATGGGGATGATCCGATCTGTGAACGTAAGTTAAAAAACCGAAATAAAAAAAGTTGCGTAGCATATAAATACAGTTATCACAGTATAGCATCGCGATAAACAAGTCCCATATGTCCTCAGCTTTCAAAAACAGATTATATTTTCATCGTAGCCCTAGTGGCGTGTGATCAGTTGGAGGCTCCGGAAAATGGTTCCTTGCAATTGATAAACGGTGAAACTTCCAATGGCGCTGTCGCTGTTTATTCCTGTGATGAAGGCTTTGTGTTAAATGGAAATTCCACTAGAGTATGCTTGAGTAGTGTTGTCGAAGGAGAATGGAGTGGTGATGAAGCAATCTGTGAACGTAAATTATAAAACTGTTATTAAATTGATTGTGCAACAGTAATCACAATATTAACAAATAGATACAGTAAAAACAGTATAGCATCGTGAGAAACAAGGTCAGTGTGTCTTGAATTTCTCAAAGTGGTAAATGACAATAACGCAGATGCGAGTAAGTAGTTACCAGTTTCACCACCAGGTGGCTCGTTCGGGTCCGGTAGCATGGTGGGTATAGTAGAAAGTTCCCTTTAACTTAAATTACATCTGTTTTAGTTGCTCAATTTTCATATAACCCTTTTGTATATAATTGTTATGTAAATTAAAATATGTCCAGTAAAAGAAAATGTTATCTGTCCAATCCATGTCTGTTTTTGTGATTTTGTAACATGAGGTCTATGGGGTCGCATTTTCAAAAAAAATTAAATTTTCAAAGTTGATATTCAATTTTCGTAACCATATTTCTAGATGTACTTTTACATGTAGATTTCAAATATGACATCACTTTGACTGAATTTTGAATATCAATGACGTAAATCAAGATTATTTCTTCTCGCATCTAGTCTATTTATATTTTCATTGTAGGCCTATTGGAGTGTGAACCATTGGAGACACCGGTAAATGGTTCCTTGCGATTGATAAACGGTAAAACTTCCAATGGCGCTGTCGCTGTTTATTTCTGTGATGAAGGGTTTGTATTGAATGGAAACTCTACAAGAGAATGTTTGAGTAGCGTAACCGAAGCGGAGTGGAGTGGGGATGAACCGACCTGTGAACGTAAGTTATAAAACTGAAATAAAAATTTTTGTGTATCTTGCCATTGTATGATACATGTTTCTCGTGTGATTATTTCAGATTCAGCCTTCTTACCCCATAAAGATACGTTCATTATCCCTCATAAAACCTCACACGTCTAAGAAGTCACACCGCTATCAACAATACCATACTATATTGTAATCTATTGTTTTATACACAGGAAATTCAGACATGTACACATATTTTATTATTGAACTGAAATATGAAAAGTATACCGGTATACATACGTATTCGTCTTTGATGAAATACATCAATACCAAGTATTGAGGAATCAGTTATCTATGTTATTTCTTATGTTACATAACTACGTAGCGTTAGCTTCTATAAATATAACCATACCCGCCGATACACCATACTCATTCTCCATTTACGTAAAGCTGTGGATTGTGGAATTCCTACGCGTAGTGTTGACTTTCTTAATATTTCCTACACTACGACAACACTTGGATCGATCGCGAGCTTCAGTTGTCCGGCATGTGAACGACGTCTAGTTAGTGGGAACGATATCACTTGCCTGCCCGGTGGAGAATGGAGTTGTAGCGAAGCACGTTGTGTAGCCCAGGGTATGTAAGATTCGTGATCCATTTCCAAAAAGGACAGAAATAATACAAAACATTAGGGATGCCGATCACTGATGGCATTTAGCTATATAAGCTAGACATAAGATGAAGTGTTTACCCTGTATAAAATTGTTGACGTTCATGGTCAACCCTGTCTCTTCTACCTCTGCGTATAAGAACGATTATTGTAGCACCATCAGCAAAATCTTTAGTTTTGTGTTTTAGTGGCATGGGCTCCATTTGTGAGTAGACTGTGTACAGATGTTGTCGGAGGGCAAACATTGCTTGTGAAACCTGTTGAAAGATTAGCTGATTGTCAACGTCTTTGTATCACTTTGAACCAGTTTGAATGCAAGTCGGTTGAATGGGGTCGTAACACTCAGGCGGGTATTGCTGATGGCATTGCGCTTGATTGCACATTGCAAGGCTTTGATTTGTCGGAACCAAATGTGACAACTAGTGATTGTAGGGCAACAGTCTACCGCGAAATTCTCTGTGAGTGGTGTTTCTAAATCTATATCTGTATGCGAGTTCATATGTAGTTTACTTTTCGTGCGCACCCATTCCGTACCGTACCATTCCTTTCCATATTCAATTTCTTATGACATATGTCGAAAGAAAAAAACATACCTTTGGAACTAGTTTCTTTACTTTTAGATTTATTAATTACAAAGAAAACCAACGAGGTTTAAGAATTAGTCTGTCCAACTCTAAAAACACTCAGATTT